GCTTCAATCTTATTGTAACTGTCGGCCTTGGCGATATCGTCGTCGTTGATTACATTTTCTTATCACTTATTGTCGCTTTTGTCATCGTTGGTTAGTTCATTTTTCGTTTGAATGCACTCTTTCCATTTTCAAGCATATAAATCACATTGATCCATTTTTTTCCAAGAAAAGTCGAAAAAAAATTCAATTCATTTATTTGAAATCAAAACAAGTGATTTTTATCGGCATAGCAGCACACAAATTTATTAAACACCAAGTAAATTCATGGGACGGAAAAATTAAAAGGTAAGATATACTTAAGGTGATATTTCAAATATTAAAACGACTTTTGCTATTTAAGTTAAGACCTGAATTTGTTGATATTCTTTGCTTATAGAATTAATTCGTGAAGGGATTGGTGCTATAACTACAAAACAGCAGTTGACGGCTTATACCTCTTAAAATCTGCTTAAAATTATTTTCAAAAATTTCATAATAAGCTAGTACTTCTGCAAATTTTTTGCAATGTTAGATAGATAATTTTGCTTGTTTTTCCCTGAAACACATTAGAAATCAGTAAATCCATAGGGATATAATGCCGTACAAAATTTTGTTGATTTTGAAATGCTTCGTTGGTTGAAATTATTGCAATGAAATTACTTAATTTCTGTAAGTGGTTTTTTCTCATCAGAAGAATCCACAAGTGTTTGAAGTATTTCTCTACAACTAAGAATTAGAATTAGCAAGGAAAATTTTACGAATCTGTTAAAGAAATATTTAATTGTCTATCCAATACAGAAATCATATTTGTTCCGAGCAGTTTATATATCTGTTTGTGTGTGTCTTTCTTATTTAATATTTGAAGACATTTTTTTTTGAAGATAAATATTAAACCGTTGAGGAAAGAAACGGATAATCAATTAGATGTATTAATAAAACATAATCCCACCACAAGACTGATTCAGTCACTCATCAATGGAGAAATCCCAATGTCACCTAAAAAAATATAGAAATCAGCGAGTAGTTCTGAGCCTGTGGAAATAAAAAAATGATAAAAGATGCTTTCTCATTCTTGGCTTTCTAGAAAAACTGCTGATAGATTCTTCTGGTATAATACCAGATATGGATTCAGTATAAAGAGATAAATAGATTTTTCCATTTCAGTAAGTGGAAGAAACAATTTTTTTTTTCCTAGCCTTTATCCACAAATTTTTTTTCACATTTATTAGAAGTGATAAGTCATTTTAAGAATGACTGTACCTTTGTGCCAAATTTATTTCGGACAACAGTTATGTTCACGATAGCTTTCCGGGAATCTTTGCAGATTGTGCTCACTTTCTGTTTGATTCATCATTGTAGTGCAGGATGCACAGGACGGTTGAAACGGAAGAATCGGAAGGAGGAAATGACGTCTTTATTGCTTTTTCATTGATTGCTGTATTGTAATTAGAAATTAGTGAGTAACCAATGACGCAAACTTGGAAATGATGAGATGACGTTGGGCTAAATAAAGGAATTATAAAATCATATGGATGAGAAAGGAAGAACATAATGTTAATTACGCTTTATATATACATATATATAATCTTATCAATGTTTTCTAGGTTTATCAGTTGTTACGATGTGTATTGACTTAGCATCAACACATCTGAAAGCATATTTCACTCGCTTCCATTATTTTGGACGAGCCAAAAAGTTCCTTGGCCTGAGCGAAGAACTCAAGGAAATTGTAGTCCTATTGAGAGCAATGAAGAGGAAAAAGGGAGAAAAGGTATACGTAAATTTTTCATTTATTAAATTTTATATCACTAAAAATAATTGGAATTTTCAATTAGAGTACTTAAAACTCAAAGCTAAATATTTTCATTTTCATATTTACTAGGTCACATGGAATGATGTTCGGGCATTTCTGGACAGTGAACTACGTGATCGACCATTCGAGCCTCATGAACTTCTCATGAGATTACGTTTCATTGATGAAACTTCATCTGGAATGTCGACAATACGGCATAATTCATTCCAATCCGATTTCTTCCGTGACACTGAATATTTACGGAGAATAACTGCTTTACGTCCCGAACAACCCGCATATCTGTAAGCAAAGCATTGCTCTGCTTATCTTGTCGATTCCCTTCATTTTCAACACTTTTTTGCTTTTGAAAATTCCCTATTAAACGATAATGTGAAAGAATCAAAATTGTCCTCATGTCGAAAGGTCAGTAATAGATTTTGTGTTGACGAGAATAAACGAACTCCAAATCATAATATACTTAATGCTTCATAAATGACATCATAATGGTGATAGGATGAGTATCATTCTCAATTGTTCGCACAAGAAAGCAACAATCTTACCACATAGCACTAATTTCTCTTTCCTCAATAATTATTTTGCTCATGATTGTGATTTTCTCAAGTAAGCAGGTGTTTTTTTTTTTTGTCAAATTATCCCACCTCGTAACAAATCTCATTTTCCATATCCTTTTATTACTTCATTCTATAATCAATTTGTTTCATTTCATTTTTTATATCTTTATATTTTTATAATTTAAAAAGAATCGATCACGTAGTTCTCAGAAATATAAATTGAAAATATGTAGATGAACATATGATATAATCAATGTACATTGCATTCTATCTCATTTAATCTTCAACAGTGATCGCTCAACTTGGTTTTCTTACTAAAGAGATGCTGGATCCGGATATAAAATTAACAAAAATCTAAGCCTTTTAAGATAGGCCTGAGTGATATGTTATCAGTTCAGTTATTAAATGTTTTAGCTCTATAATAACAAAATAAAAAGGTTAAGAAGGTCTCCTTAACACACAAAATTGCTCAGATTGAAAAAGAACCGATGTTTACTTTGAAAATCGATTTTTACTTATACGACTCTTTTTATATTTATAAGAAAGATTAAGTCGTCATTGAATTAGTGCTGTCTTTTGCACATAAAGCTCTACTGATTGATATCAGTCGCTGAATTATATCTGTTTCTCAAAATACTTCGAACTTGCCTCCGATTCTTGAGCGATGGTATATATATTATTTCTACGTGCACTCTCGACAACATCTGCTTTTTTGTGATTCGGCTTTGCATCAGAAGATGAGTTGGAATCTATTTGTATGAAAAATGAAAATGATACAGTTGTCTTCACTTCTTGGACATTTGATATCACAAGCTAAGTCCTATTTCTCGACCAGAGCTGGAAATGAATTTATATATTTGTATGCATCTACTGATGTGATAAAAAAAGCATATTATAATTAGTAACAAAATCATATTATTTTAGATTCAGACGCAAATATTACAATATCTTTTACCACAGAATTGGTTGAATCGGTGAACCTTTCAAATAACCGCCAGAAAAACCTCGAACAGATAGGATTCTGAATCTGCTATGGTACTTTAACTCTTAATTAAGTTTGATTTTTGCCGCTTCCCACCAGAGAATCATAAACAATGATCACTATAATTCAATAAATTTAATTTATATCAGCGAACAATACCGCATGTTGATAAAAAGCTTTAGGAATGAAGATAGTGACCAGAGACCCAAGAAATATCAAAAATAATGCTTCCTTTTCATCCTTTTCATATAATTTTATCCCTACTCTATGTAAGATGTACGCTGTCACTGTATGCAAATCCTGAATTGTTTGTTTGAAGAATGAATGAAAGTTTTGCGAGTTTTTGGAATAAAGAAGTATATTGTTCGTGAATCGTTGCGAATTGTTTACGCGCGGCAAACACTAAAATGAAAACATCCAAATCCATCAGCAATTTTAGACTACCGTTAATAATAACGCCCGTTTCAAGGTATCGAATAACATCAGAAGGTAGGATGTGAGAAATTGATGAATAATTTTGTCAAGCTTTTTCTGTTTCAATTAATCATAATCACATTAACCAGTTTCCTATGAGCCCTATTTATACCACTTCCAACTAGCTACCTCAATGTCTTCGACACCAATACATTTTAGATCAATATGCTATGATAACAGTACCGAAAAAAAATTTGAAGTTACTGCAGCATCTAGAACATTCACTATGAACTTCGAACAAAAACCAATTGAACGCAAAACCAATTGATACTACCAAGTATTACTTAGCTTATTTTACAAACTTACAATTTCTTTAGGCAATTATGACTTCATTACTTCATCGGTTTTTTCATTGTTATCGTCTCCATTCTTTAGATACTCAGCAAATTTTCAAAAGCCACTGGGAAAAATTTACTGAGCAACACAGTTTTGTTTTTATAATACCACTCCCTGTTTCAACAATCGGGATGTAGATCAAGTTTTGTTTAAAATCTAACTACAATTTAACAGATATCACTTGCATGCAAAAACCAATAACCTGGGCCTAAAAAATACATTTTCTTGCACTCTCTTCCATAACTTAACATTGCTATCGACTCACCAATCATGAAAAGAAATTAATCAAAGTAGATGGCAAGTTTAGATATGCCATCTTTTCTTAAAGAAAAGTATTGCGCACATCAGTTGTTGCACACAACAATTTACTGCCATTATCAAGTGACATAAATTAATTTTTGAAGGTAAACAATGGAAAATTAGAGAATGTTAAGCGACTTTATGCAAGCTCCGAGTTTATGGAGGAGGTCAACAATGATCGAGTGATAAATGACAACAATTAGACGAGAAAAGTCTGGACTCAGGAAAGAAAGATGAATATCTCTTGGGAAATACACAATTCGAACATAAGACCAGTTGACATACACTCATTCATGTATTTAGATATTTAATGATAAGTAATCGAAAAAAAAAAACAACATGAAATGGGAAATACGAGAAATACGTTTTTAAAGGAAATAAAAATTATAAAGCAAAAGATTTCCACTAAGAATTCGTAAAGAAGTTTACATTAAAAGCAAATATATGGAAAATGATAGAGCAAAAGAGTTTTTATTACGAAACAAAATACTGTACTGGCAGACTGTGGAAATATTTGTAAAAGATTCTCGTAATGTAAACAAACTTTGCACATTAGCATGTGATCCTAATTCCATGAAATATTTTTCTGTAAGCTATTTTGTTCCCTAGATTCATCACTGATATTGAACTGACCAAAATCTGCCATCAAATGATTCAGAGCTGGGGTTCTCGTTTCCTGTAAATCGGGATAAGTTTTCAGCGGGAAGCCCTGACAATTTTACAGGACAGATAAAAATAAAAACCAGAAAAAAAAAAACAATAGACGATAAATGACTTCCAGCATCTGCATATCTCTATAAGCTATTCTAATATTCATTGCAATTATTACTCTATGCGCAACAAATTCTTGTTATGTTTTATAACTTCGGTAATAAGCGTCATTTCAGTTGTTTGTAATACAAGTCAGGAAAATCTGAGGAACGAATCACGTGATGAGTGAATGATGTTTTATAAAGTGAACATACTAAAGAGAAATAGTAAAGTGAAATGAGGAACTTGAAAGTGTCGCTGCACGATAGATTTTGATGTAGCATTTCTTTGGTTTTTGTTTCCTTTTATTACATAACCTGTTCTCTCACCATAACTGTTATTCGTACACTTATGCAAGGTTCGTCTGATCTATTAGTAGGACACATACCTCAATTTTCAGATTCACATAACTTGTTCTTACCTTACATCTATAGAATACATACTAAGAACCGTCTATTCTACATTTTATAGCTTCCAATTAATATAATCTTGTTCAGTGTCTACATTGCGCATTTGAGATTCACCATATTTGTTTCGTGCATTTATGTATCAAATGGTTTCTTTTGCTTCAGTGCTCGATTTGTATTTTTCAACAATGTCTTACTGACAGTTACAGCTAAAGTAAGAAGCCAGCATTTGGATGTAGAATTTGCAGCACATAGGTAAATCTTTGCAAACACCACTGAAATAATATTAAAAAAATTGAAAGTACAATCCACTAATGACATTTAACATCAATAATGGATTACTCTGGTCATTTTTTAGGAAATGAACCAGTTGTTTAAAAAATTTTAATAACCTCTGTAGTACCACAGGAAATAACACCACTTCCATCGTCATCCGATCTCGGCTGGATGTTGCTTAGTGCTGTGAATCCATCCTTAAGATAATCGATTGTTGACAAGAATCCGCTCAAACAACGTTATACAGAACAAATCACAAATACTTTTCATTTAAATTTTCTCAAAAGTCTAGTAATTAAAAGGATAGGCGTTTCCCACTATTCATACGGGTCAGAAAGAAGGTCCATCGAAGAGGAAAGTTTCTTCTGCAAAAGAATTCTTTCAAGAAACCATTAAATGTGGAAGTAAAAATACGAAGTGAAAATATACATTTCATGAAATGAGACAAGTTAATCAAGCACTTACTGAAATTTTTCGGAATGGTATATCCACGTGTCCCGAATTAACTTTTTGAGAACTCGATAAAATTCCACTTTCTGCTGTCACTGGGACATTAGCGAAGGGTGAAGCAGCGGCGAAAATCGCCGCTGTATCACGATTTAGGAAAAAATTTCCTGCTGGTAAAGTGTTTGTTTCTGGTCCAAATATGGCTAACTGTGTATCTGAAGGATATCAAATTGTACCATCTGTTTTGGGTCAAATATGCATAAAATTTTGCTAAGTATACCATGTGATGAAAAGAACAATGAAAAGATGTGACAAACCTATAATAACTATAGTTAATTATGGCCTAAATGTTCTTTCCGGACTTATATCATAAAAACTTACAGCCATTCTGAGATCCAAAAGACCGCTGAGCAAGAGGAACAACGGATGGGCCGAAAAATGACCCGATGCTGGACGTATCAGATAAATGAATGTTCTTTGCTTTACCGGGCGTGTTATCATCATCGGATGAAACCTTACGTAAGAAAATTACACTTTAGAACTAATAAACATTAAAAAAGTGACTCATCCGTTATAGAAGCCAATTCCTCACACAGATGAAAACATGATTTCCTGCTTTTTTTGTTAATTTATTAACAAGGGAGCAGAAAGACGACCTTACTAGAATTTTTTTTTTAGAACACTCAGGCAAAAAGACTTCGAAAAGAAATGCAATAAGCATGCTAAATTATAAAAACATCAGCATTTCTCAGATCATCTGAATTATTATACTGATATCCTATTAAAAAAATTTATGAAAGCAACAAAAACCTCAGAAAACAGTTGTAATCGACGCTGATGCTTTGCTGATCGAGGATAAAATTTAGATGCAGTTCCATACAAAGCAAGGATATCAGAAGTGCTCTTTTTCTCTGAAAAAAAAAGGAAATTTCCAGATTTTCCCGTTCACCACAAGCACAATAAAAACTGCTGAGAATGTAATATTGTACTACTACGAAACTTACCATTCACTACGGGACTAGATCCTAACACCGATGCTAATTCTTCCAAATTATTTTCTGAGATACCAGTCGTGAGACCATTTTTGCCATTTGAAGAAGACGCTACAGCATCCGTGGCAAAAATATCAGACTGCAATTTCGCAGGTGGAGCAGAAACAATTGGACCGAAATCTTCCATTTCATTTTTGTCGCCGATTCCCATAATGACATTATTCAAATCCATTTTATTTTTGTTTATGACAGCAAAAGGCTACAAAAATGTCTTTTACGCTAGAAAACGTAGAAATTGCATAAAATCAGAAAATAAAAAATAACTAACTTTATGTCGAGAAGTTGGGAATTATTTTATCAAATTAAAATTACTACTCGTTTACCAAGGTGGGTGGAAGTTCACTATGACTGACTTCTACCATGGAAGTACTTAAGTCTAAGAGCGACACATCTATAATTCTGTTGTCCTTTGTATCAGCAGCAGCATTTGCTACGTTGGAATTTCCAGCCATATTTCTATTATTCTCCGTTGAATCCGAGCAGCGATTTCTTTCTTTAGTATTTAGACGTATAACTGAAATAACAGTGGTGTGAACTAGGGTTTTGACATTTCTAAAACTTGACACATCACATTTGAGAACTGAGTTGATCATATAAAAGAGAACTGCATTCTACGTAAATAGAAATGATTACGCCAAATATTTTATTTTACGAATTTGACGAAATACAAAAAAGGGAAACGAAAACAGAAACCGATCATGGTAGCTACAAAGCTGAACTTCTTCGCAATCAAGATTTGAATGATTCTGTGAACTCACCGCGATCAGAAATTTGTTTCTTATCCAGGGAGGGTGGTAAGTCGTTCACATCAAGTGGAGGAGGCGACCAATCCTTCAGGATATATCTGCAATGATATACGATGCAACACAAAAGACAAAGCATAAACGTTTTGTAATTCAAACAAAAAGTGACGTTTCATTATTTCAAAAGTGAAAAACACTGAGAATTACCACCTCTTTTGTTCATATTTTGCCCTGATGAATGATTCAAGAGCAGAATCGGTTTGCGGTCTGCGGAAATGCTCAGGAAGCTCTGCTTCATAAACACGGCGTGCCATTTTATTCCCCATCAGCCGCATACTTTGCACTTGCTCTGGAGTCCATGAATCCAAATTGACCGACTTCACCTGAATTTTATCATATCGTAAGGCAGCTAAAACTAGGCATAGCAAATAATCATATCCTCAGAGTTCTAAGAAAAAAATCGAAAGTACAATTTAAAAAACTGAAGCACACTAATTTCTTACAGACCGAAGGATGATACCTTGGTGAGATGAACACCTAGATTACGATGGATGCCGGCACAACGTATGCAAAGAAATACTCCTAGATTCCAGGATGCCCATCGAGGTTGTTTCGCTTCGCAATCGGCACAGTACTTGTTTTCCTCTTCTCGTAAAAGATCGACTACTATCGCTATAAAACATACGTAAAAGATCGACCACTATCGCTATAAAACATTTTCACAATTTCAGTACATTTCGTATTTCTTAATTTTATATTACACGTATGGTTTTCATTCATTCATATTGCGGAAATATATGAAAACTGGAAGAACACTAACATAAAAAATATTAAATATTATGATACCTTGTAAACGTTCAGATTCTGTCCTTTTTGCATCGATTCGACTTTTCAATGGCATGGTGCGACACTTTAATAGGTGGCAAACGGCTGAAACTGCTATATTCCGATACTGAAAACACTTGTCTCTGCACAAAACAAGTCCTTCGTTTATACTAAACGGTTCACATTATCACTATGAAATCTCAGATCTGACAATTAACAATCTGAGCTCATTGCTACCGACATGCACCACGTACACTTGCCAAACTACCTTGCATGATCAGAAAGTTGAGTTCAACATTAATAACTGGGGAAATTAGTCGATAACAACGGGAAAGAAATGAGACAAACAATACAAGCATGAATTTCAAGCTTCCCCTGTATACCTCGGTACGCTCGTAAAAGCAGTACTGAAGCACTCCAGCAAATGATAAATCTTGCCACGTTCTCAGTCTGATAAAACGAGGCAGTATCAATAAATGAGAGTGCGAGCAGACATGAAATAACACGAAGAGATGCTGCATCTGAAAGAGAATAATGTAAGATGTGAAGAAAATTTGTGCTGGATAGCTGTGGAAGTTGTCAGATCGTAGTGGAGTTGTTGCGGGTAGATCTGGGTTGCGGGATTAGCAGGTTTAAAAGGCGTGACTCGTTTCATTCTGAATAGGTTGTCTAATTTCTAGCTTTTCATAGCTTTCTACCTCTTTAGATTATTTCAAATAATGAAAACAACTTGGGGGTCGCAGTTTGGATTTCTCTTGGATAATTTTGGAGTTTCTAATATGTTCTTTTGGATTGAACTGCTGAGCATTTGTTTAAATGAAGCATGTAAAATGAGATACATATATGTGTGAATTGATTAGTTTTAAACAAGAGGATGATAACGATAGCTCCATTGGACGGATTCAAAGGAGGAGGAGGAAGATATTATACAGAAGTCACACTTTCATCTCATCCTCACATCGAAGCTTCTGTTATGCGTGCTATCACGGATATAGTGGTCGAATGGAGGCGAAACGTGCTGGGAAGTCGATGTCCACCTCTTGATTCGAGTTCTGTTGCTGTACGAAATCTTGTAACGATCTTCGATTTTTTCCTCTCTTATGGGTAGGTCTATATTTATCAGATGGTATGTTCTCGTGCATGAGGGAGTGATGATAGAATGGGGTGAAACTACCATCTATGTTCTTTCACAGGCTTGGGACTGTATGGTTCAAGTTTCTCAAAAAACTGAGTATCGGTAAGTCGAAGTTACTAGAATTTTGCTCTTGTTGTAAAAGCAATATTTACCTGCAACTAGGATTATTTTGTCCAGATTTAACAGTGGCAACCGACTATACTGGTTATTTGTGAAAGAGTTCATGTCACGTAACGAAACTGAGTATCTGAAACGGGAATGGCGTGTCACTTCAGCGCGACAACTATCAGTTGCATGGCTCAAGGATGTTCTCAATAAACAGACATTGCTATACCTTTTTCAGGTTCCTAAGCATATGTTCTTTTCACAACTCAGTTATTGTATTCACTAGATTTACTGGGATTAATTGCCATTGATAGGTAATGCATTTCTTGGGACTGAGACTGCTTTCTGTCCTTTGAAAAAGAATCCCAGTGGCAGCTGTTAAAACCATTTTGTTTTCTAAATTAAGTTAGACTGGGCGGCTCTAACTCATTTATCTAAGCAAGCACACACACACAACATTGTTTTTTGAACTCCAAGCTTTTTGAAACATATGTTTCCTGCTCTTGATATTGCCTGTCTCTTCCAATCTTGTACGGCGATGAGGGATCGAATTCGAGCTAAATTATGCAGTGTTTTACAGTGGGTTTTTTTTGTATTACTAGTCTATGAATGTTTTTTTCTGTTGTTTGTTTTACAATGCTCGATCACATTTCGCCGTAAGCGCTTTTAAATAAATTGCATTTCAGTCTTTTCAACAAGATTTAGAAACTGTTCGAAAGTTCTACCACAGGGAAGCTGTGATGGCAAATCAACCTCTACTTTCCCGCATTGTACAGAAAATGATGGATTTTTCTGAAGTTCAATTCAAATTTTTGGTCTGTTTTGTTCATTTCATTTCATTTCAGATGTAACATATAATTTGATCGTGTATTTATCAACTGAAGGGAGGAATAGGCTTGCTGCAGAAATAGCTTTTTGCTCGTACTGTATATCGCTGAAAAATTGTAATTAGCAATTCCTAATTGAAAATGTGGAAATCCTGTCACAGATATTTAATCCTTTATGTTTGTAATGTCGAAAATATATTTATATCTTTTTTTTTAGCAAAATCCGTTATATTACTCTCGCTTTATAGAGCTGAACTTATTGTTAGTATTTTGTAGTTTGGACATACTTTTTTGCTTACCTTTCAGAAACCTTTTGAAAAACATAACGACATTCCAATAGCAGTAATGCGTCTGTCATTTGGTGATCAGCGACCGTCAACGTCAAATGATAGTTTGGCTGTTTTATCCAAGCATTCACATGAAGAACAAAGCCATTCAGTAATTCACCAAGGATCTCGAGCAGAATTTTCAACACATTCTCAGGATGTCTCGTCATTATTGCTTGATATACCATTACCAGAAGATTTCGTGGAAACTCATACTACGACATTTGATGAAGATATCGCTATACTAGAAAACGACCCTGTAAGAGCTTTATCAAAGACTTGTTTAATGTCACATTATTCTATAAGTTCGCAGAGGCATTTTTTTCTGAATGTTTTTGAAATACAAAGACGATGATTTAAATATAAATAAAAATGTTTAGGATAAAATTTTTGGTGAATTGTTGAAACGTAGAAAAAGTGAATCATCAGATGTTATCCATGGTTGTATTCCAAAAGAAGATGGACTGAAGAACGCTGTGGATGAAGAAGGACATGTTAGTTATGAACAGAGAAAATCTGAGGTAATTTTTTCGTAGATATTTTTTGAATTCCTACAAGTGGTTATTTATGACGTATTTCCATGTGGTGCTTCATGTCTCTTTGAAAATTTCTCAGCCCTATAACGAAAAAAGTTACATTCCCGTAACGAAAAGATTTCAAATCTTTCCATGTACTTTTTTAACTGATGCGTTTCAAAAAAGTGTGTCCTAAATTATTTCTATTTTTCGATTATAGCTGCAATTTTGAAATCTCATCTACTTCACTGAAATTATATCATGCGCCCATATCTTTTTAAATCTTGAAAGGTGTCCAAGCCCTTTCAAGGGATTATGGAACTTCAACAATTATACTAGGAATTAAATGGGGCTCGTCATTTTTCAGCATTTTGATTATGTTCACTTGGAATACATGTTTTTTGGTGATTTCCCAGTAGTCATTGTTATGAAACCAAAACCACTTCGAAATGTAGCACAGTGTGTTCTCTGTTCTTCATATAGCTGGACGCCGAACACATCAGCAGCATTCAAAGGCCATGACACTAGTGACTTAGCCATTTATTTAAACCCGCAATTGATTATGTTAATATCGGAACTTATGTGACTTCTTACTGACTACTTCGCATGGTATCTATCGTATTAATTTTAATGCTCTTCAGATATTGCAAAATTTATCAACTTTGTCGTTCAAATATTTTGCTGATTTTTGATTTATAATACCGAAGATTTACCGCTGTGCTACACAGGTCACTAATGCTGCTATTTCGGTGGACCCTTTCGATATAGCTCTGAAAACAAGTTTGTCAAAGGCAAAATTGTCTGCAGAGGATGTTTACTATAATGAATATGAACACAGGGTATCACCGATAACAACCTCAGTCGACCTTACGTATGGCGAAATAAGGTATGCTTTCTTCATTTTTTCATTAAATTCCTGAAAATGATATCTAATGAGCTTTCTCTCATTCAAAAAATCTTCGCAATTTCGGATTCAAATTGCAAAACAGTGTGCTGATATTTCTTCATTCACTGCTTATTTGTTTAACAGTTGAGAAATGGTCTTCAAGGTTGGATATGGGTGAAATGATTGGCCTTAGCATAAATGTTTTCAAACACGATGCCGAAAGATTTATGCGCCTGTTTCAGGTATCTACTGCTTTTATTTTATGCCCAAAGATCTAAATCAGAGATAAAGAAAATGCGACTATTACAATTTTTATTTGATCAGACTGTCTCTATTGATAAATTACTGATCTCCAGCACGCAAAAAGTTATGATGAATTATTATTACGTGTACTTTTAAAGGTGTATTCACATTTCGGCACGGGGGAAATTGAAAGACGATTATTTGCTCTCTCTAATCAAGCGGCTTATTTGTTATCTGCAGAAAGTTTTGTAATATCCAAAAAGTCATATGTTACACGTGCATACCTGCCACTCAGATATATCAGCAGTATTCATGTAAGTTATATTCTGGACTCAGTTGAAAAAAAATGGTTCCTATTCAATAGCTCTAATCTGGAATATTTTGATTAGAGTTTTCAGGTTTTTCCAGACTTTCAAGTGATATATCTGCATGCTGAAAAAAATTATAATGTATGTGAGAGTGAAACTGATAAGTTCTTGTCAGTTATGGAAATATGCGCAGCATGTAAACAACTTGGTATCACCATTTTGGATGCTCTGAAATATGCATATGAAAATTATATGTCAAATTTCCAATCCGAAAAAATCAAATTGAACGTACACATTGATCGCACTCCACAGCATCTTGTTAATTTCATGTCCAAGGAATTGCATAAGGTGAGACTTTTATACTTGCGAAGATAATTTATGACGCGATTTTGAATTAATTTAGTGCTTCCATGTAGGAACTGTCAGCAGTGAGGGAGCGTTACTTTATAATAAACTATATCATGCGGATGATATAAGTTCTACATGGTTCCATTATATTGTGCGGATATAAATTCTGAATGAGCTTATAGGATGACCCTGTACTTTATGGATATTATCTTGCACAATGGAGACAAACGAAATTACATAGTATGAGTGGAGAAGGTTATCAACACAGTGGTTTTTTGTATTATAAAGAAGTTTCGAGTGGTGTTTCGTGGCTGCTTGGTTCAGCCGATTTTCAACAGAGCTACTTTCACTTGCAAAATAAAAAACTTTACCGGTTTTCTGATTCTACATGCAAATTTGGTGAACGCGTTATACATGTCAGGTATTTTTTTTTTTTGCATTAATATTAGGCGTTAATATTAGGAATGACAAAGTGCCTTGCAAGAGAAGTTTCTTTCTAGAGATTCAGTTACCGATGTAATAGAACTCAAAGGTGATGATCGTTCACCACATATGTTCGAAATTGTTCTAAAAAACAGCAGAATTCAGTTCATATGTCAAAGCGCTGCTGACATGCACAAATGGGTTTCGCTAATAACTCTTGCAATCACATCCATGGTACTGTGATATGTTTTAAATGGAAGTTGCTTTTATCTGTATATTTCGACTCGATACATTCGCGTTTTCGTAGCGTTCCGCTGAATTAACAGTACAAATAAAATGGGAAAATTTTTGAGTGGCCAACCTTAAACATATAGTAAAAGGCCAAGGTCATTTGTTGGATTTTTATTATTCTTTGCAGGACATGGGTGATGAGCCAGCAGCCTGCGTAGTGTGCTTGTGTGAAAAAAGTATTTTAATAGCCCAAGAGGGGTTGAACTGTGCAGCTGATGGATTTGTGAGATTGCTGACGCGCATTGACATCGCACATATGTCCCAGGCTACGGGAGTATTTGCTGCGGAGCGCTCGGCATGTGTAATCAAAAATGAAGAAAAGTTTGAGTGGTTATTCATGAGATCACCAAGCGAAGTTGATCGCCTATTGAGGCAGCTAAACCAGTTTGGGGTAATCGTTCCACCAATTCATTTTCTTTATTATTCATACTTGACTTTAGATATAATGGATACATTTAGGTAAGGCAAATTAATACAGAAGAAGGTGGTTCGTCCCGACTGTCTGCAATTCTAAATTCGATGTCACGTCTTAATGATGCTTTCCAATTTGACGATACCCTATCGGACGATGCATTTGATACATCGCTCAAATTCGATAATGTATAATGTTAATGCTTTTACACTTACGCAGCTGTATTGCTTGCGCTATCAACGCTGTGTAGCAAATTGATTCGTGTATTTCCTAACATCCAATGTTTTGTTATGAACCAAATCACTATAAACTATAGAGAGTAACTGGCAAGGTACATTGATCAATTTCAACAGAACAGTTGCAGAGAATTCCTAATGTCTATATATATGTATTAAATTCATGTCTAAAGTGCAGATCCAACCGTCCCCAGAAACTAAGAATATGAATAGCTGTTGGGTCGTGAAACACTAGCTTCAAATTTTAGGTGGAAGGTTCCTGAAGCCAATTAGTTCTTGCCATAATCGAAAGCGTCCGTATGGGATACGATACTTGCATTGCTAAGTTGTGCCCATTACAGAATTCCCGTCAAAAAAGATAATATCTGCATTTTGTTAGGCACGCAGTTTCGACAGAAGAAGGCAACTACAAGTATTTTTCTGCACGATATTCTGGACACTTGCAGGTTGGGTTTTTCGGACGAACGAAGTAGGGAAATGGAAACAGTTCATGACGTTTATCACATAAACTCGGATAGCGCACAGCTCCAAGTCTATTACAGTTAGCTAACAGTAGATTTCAAAAAAAAAGTGTCCAGGAAATCTTGGAGATGAAGTGATCACAAATTATGCTTTATTATCACAAAAACTATTGGGTGCGAAATGTAAATATTTAAAATTTCTGTAATTTCCAAATGAATAGGGTTTGCAGGGGCAAAGAATTCGCCAAATGAAAGACTGGATTAAAGAAATAACCACAGAAAACGCTCACGCATGTTTTAAAATTATGAAATGCGAAATCTTATACAGTAGCTTTTGATCAGACAAGTGGAATACGCTACTTACACCTAGGATTTATATCTGATTTTTTATTGGAAAGAAAATTACACCAAATAACTGCAATATTCTCACCTATATACAAGGTATTTCGAAAAACCAGAAATGAAGAGACGGTGTGCAATGAACGGGAAAGAAGGGATGAGAGGAAGGATAAGACTATTCGTAGACACAAGCGCATCATAATGGAAATCCATTATAACATTCGCTTCACAACTCGACCTATGATCAGTCAAGTTATGAAACAAATTAGCAAAATGGGTTCGTAGGTTGAGTTGATGCCGACGCCGGAACTGGCACCAGTGGTGGCTGGATAGTTGTCTGGACGGAATTTCCTGTTGGCGGTATGCGATTCTGACTCATCATTTCATTAAGCGATGGTGATGGGCGTTGCTGAGCGACAAATGGGTTTATTGATACCGTTGTACCAGTACCAGAAAGAAATGGGTTGCTGGCTAAAATACGATTGTATCATAGGGAAGAATCGTTCGAGGTCATGTTCTAGATTTTATTTGCTGTAAAGTTGAAATTTAGCACTATATAAAATTAAAAGCAAAAAGAAAGACAAAAACCTGGTTTTGCATTATTACTTGTCGTTCCAAGCAGATTGTCTAAATTAACAAGGGACGAATTTTCACCGAGAAAACTTTCGGGTGTTTTAGTGCTGCTTCTTTGTTTAGAATCATTTTCTTCAACAGTGGAAACGGGAGTTTGACTGGTAAGAGAAGGCACAGTAGCCCATGGGTCGACAGAGTTTGCCGTTACCCCGGTTGTTGGAGGTGCTAACGTCCACGGATCATTATTGATAGTTTGGATGTTTGAGTATAGGGATGATCCTAAAGTGGCAGTTAGTGGTTTATTTGAACAATAACTTCAAAAAAATTTTTCTGGGCATATGTACTTTATTTGGATGGTCTTTTTTCGCCTTATATCTTTTCTCGTCCTCAAATATCTGTTACTAATGTTAAAGAGATCTCAATATCATTAATAACAACTAATTCCGTCGAGAAAACGAAATGAACTATCAATGACAAAGCACCAACCAACAACTGCTGCAGGAGCAATACCAGAAGCCGGTGCCCACGGGTCAGCAACTGGTCCACCCCATGGATTTGGAGTTATTTGTTCAACAGGTTGCCCCACTCCCAGCGACAGCAAGTCATCGATCGCACTCTGCGAAAGAGTTGAACTTGATACTGTATTTTGACCGACAGCATCCATGGAATTCATTCGTTCGATTTCACGGCGACTCTCATTTAATGCCATCTGAATTCCTCTGAATTTAACATCGGTGCCTATTTCCAATACATAATAAAAGTCATATTTAATCTTGCTTATTATATAACCAAATGTTCTTTTTCAAAATGCCTATTTTTTGGTATGACTGAAATATCTAATATATACTGAAACACATTACAGAACAAAAAATTCTTCACATGACCTCCTGAAAATGAAATACATTTAGCGTACCTGTAACCCAATGTCATCCTTCTTCCTTAGTTCTTCTTCCTTCTCACTTTCTTCCCGTGAGAGCGCAAGCGCAATCTGCAACTGCATTTCTTCTTCACCAGCACTTGCCGGTCGTGCGTCTTCCAATTCTGATTCTAAAAATTCTAAAAACATTCTAGAAAACATCGAAATAACAATCCACTTTTTTGTTATGTTAATATGGCAGTACAACACCCAAACAAAAAGTTTACATCCTGCTGAAGCAATGACAATCTCATGAAGCAGCAAAAAAGTCAAAATCTACCAAAGCCAGGACCAGTATCGATTTTGCGCATGTGTCGTACAGAATCATCTGAAGAGATACCAGAACCAGACATGAACTTTTTCCTAGTCATCATGAACTTTGTTCGTTCATTTTTTAGTCGTTCTTCGTCATACAGTAGGCTAACCATCTGTTTTGCTTTCTCCCGTACATTCATACCCTGATCTCTATTATCTTCAATGTGCTGAAAATCTTTCAACGTTTCAATCGAGTAGATATTTTCTCGACACTGTTGAGCCACTTTCTCACTGCCACACTGAAACGGATATCATTGCGGTGTAGTAATTCAAAGCACCTTGAAAATATAAAGGAATGTTGGATATGAGAAACAAAATGTAAATCTAAGGATAAGATCAAACAAATTTCCAAACAGGAATCAAATTTCGCATTAGTTGTTCATATGCGATTTTCCAGCAAGACTTCTGAATAGCTCAATACAATATAAGGCAATCTATGAAAATTTAACCTTTATCAAGTAATCCAAAAGAACAAGACTTTTATACACATGCCTCCAATTCTTCCCATGATCATTTAATCTCTTCCAGAGCATTGACATAATTTCAGTAAACGACATTGGATTATGTGTTAGATCTGCGATTTCGGACATCAGTGCCGTAGAGGGTCCCCAAGGATCATTGCTGCAACGCATCACCAATGCTCTCATTGCTTTCTGGCAAAAAGTGTCACTACGACTAACAGGAAAAAAGTGCTAAAAGTGACAAAATAGTAGACAATGAAATGCTGAATGTACCTTCTCCAATATGAATTTAGTTGCCGTTCTGGGCAGAATTATCGGTTTGTTTATTTTGAGAATATTTTTTGTTTTTTTCAACTCAGACAACATGGCAATCGGCTTGTATGCTATTGTTTGAGTTTACGAACATAATTCCTGTTGCAGCACTACTCACTATTAATAATCATTCTCACTATCATTTTTCCGAATATCTCTTTTCATTAAATTCTCCTTCGTTTGTGTGAAAGGGATCTACGATGGAATATGCAGAAAATATAGCATAGCCATTTTACACCATAAAAAAGAGAAAATTATAAAACTCTGCAATTATAAAACTCATCACTTCGTCACCTGGTGGCTTCTCGAACTTTAACTTGTGCGTCCGAGAAATTATAGGCGACATTTTTTACTTGACGTCTAATAGTTGAAATCGACATCGAAGCACTTATCAAGAGAGATACACCTGAAGCATGATGAACAATTTATAACCGTAACAGACTAGATGTAATATACGGACGAACTGATATGAAACGGATGAAAGTAGAAGCGAAACAGTAAATCTATTCCGCATGTTCGATTCATAAAATCAAATTAAGGTAATCCCATCAAAGAGTCCCTCTTCCATCATATGAAATAAACACACACAGAAGCAACTTAAACACAAATTTCTTTTTCTTCGGTTTTTAGTTTGGCTTTACATGAATGTTTTGAATCCGATATGAATATAAAACCGCTAATATTCAGTATTCCTCGTCTAATCAATGCAGTATGTTTCCAGGACATATTTGCATTAATACAGCTGTACTCATTATCTAACGCACTCACTGAATTATCGATAGTGCAAACAACCTTATTGAAAGGCATTGTTGCAAAGGAGTTTTCAGATATTTGTCATCGCCTTTCTGAATTAATACGGGTGCCGAAGACGAAAGAATCAACAGTGGTGCAAAGATATATTGGTTAATGGTGTAAAGTGAGAATCAGGTTAAAATCAATGAGCATCACATTGATAGTTATAGCTAAATGATTCAAAGTAATGAAGCCCTATCTAGTGAATGAATTAAACGAAATAAACTAGTCGTGTATCATAACAGTGATTCGAGTCCTAATTATTTAAATGTCAACATAGCTTTAAAATAAAAACTAAATTTAGGTTCCCTGTAATGGTAAACAATAACACCATTTCTAAGATGCCACTCGTTTAAGTGGATGTTGGAGTTAAACGAAAACTAAGTGAATATAAAATGAAAGAATTTCTTGTGCCAAAAATAGAAAATCAGGAATATCTGCCTAAACAGCAATATACTTAAGTATCACTACCAGCATATAACCAAATCTTCTTTCTCCTCTCCCTCACATACAGAGGCATACACACAAAGCTGCCTTAAGAAGAATGCGAAACAAAAATCATTGAATAAAAGCAATGTTGGATAGTTGCCATTTCAGTGACACGCTCCCCAAATCATCACACCACCTGATCTATCTATTATCTGTTGCTATCAGTTCATTGTTTATCAACGATATACATTCGTTCCCACACAACTCAATCCGCCAACAGCATTGCCAGTCCCCCTCATAATCCTATCACCCCACCCCTACCTCCATCCCATCCAAAACGCACGCGAAAATTCACATCAAGCATCCACGTCAGGGACCGGCCTGCCGCAAAATACCGTTGGGAGCCATTGAGGGATACGAATACGAACCAAGTTGAAATGGGGTTTCAGGGAGAGATCACCTGGGATGGACGGGTCAGAAGGACTAGCTGCGTTTCAGCGACAGCTCGTTACGCGGTAGGTGTACACTAATAGTTAGACAGTTGCGACATAGATGATCACCAGAGGCTTCATTCCATCACGACCAACAAACGAATTGTCAGTCAGTAGACATTCTAGCTATAACCCACCAATCAGTCATCAGAAAACAACCAAGTATTTGTCTAGATATGTATGAGAAACGGATGAAAAAGTATCCCTGTATTCCATATGTCAGTCAACTCATAATGTCCTGGCTGAAAACGAACAACTTTAACGAACAGACTATTTACCTAGAAAGACCATTTCTTGTTTTTTTCCAAAAAAAGCAGAGAACAACGAAGTGTATTTGTCATAAGCAAACAATGATCGCCAAGAGCAATCTGCAACTTCCCCTTGTCTCCCAGTGTATCTTCTCATCAGTCGATTTCAACAGAATCGTTGAACACATCCACGTATAATATCTTCTTAATTTACAGTGAATTTCTATAGACTCCCTCAGGTTATTGCTACAATCGTAATGAGTAAATATAATGTTTGAACGGAAATTCAAGGCGAGATAACATAGCTACAAAAGATGATGGAGATTAACAAGAAAGCACTTACCAGGAAGGACAGTGTTGAAATGTACTGATTGAAAAAAAAAAAATGACTGCAATCTCATCCGAACATTGTCTCCTACGCTGTGCTCATCTATCGCTTGTAGGAATTTCAAAATCCTTAGAAGCCAACATGTGAACAGAAAGATGATGGCTATGAGCGCTTCGTCTTAACGATATCGTAGGTATATTTTCCATCCTTAAAGTCACATTTTCAAAGTTTCCCCCCCATTAAATGCAGGGGGCCAAAATCAACTGAAAATCTTCCGTTATTAAATGCAGGTATTTGCAACTAAGTGAAAAAGGCTGGGTCATAAAGAGTGCGAAAAAATATAATGTTAAATGAATGTTGGGAGAAAGGGAACTGTATGTTGGGTTGGGATGAAACTGGACAGAACAGGGCGGAGGAGGAAATAAGAACGTTAGAGAGGAATTAAAAAACATTTAAGAGTACCTTCCATTGTTCTGAAATGGACTGAAACGGCAGAACAGTTCAGAAAGATTACCCTGACTGCTTATTAAGGTCGAATTAGGAGTCTAACTAATTGGAGCCGGACTTGAAAAGTTTTTCAAAGCAAAGATCAAATCAAATAATGTTGAAACAAATGGAAACATATGAATGTACACAATAGTCTGGAAGTTTGGGTTTTATTTCTTGTCGAGGGAAATGCAAGCTGGAGCTTCTGGACAAGTATCAGATCATAAACAGCAGTAACTTGTAATTAATTGATCGACTAAAACAAAAATTTTGTTCTTCCCTTATAATTTGATATAAAATCCTGAAGCTTGGTTTAGAAATCGGATAAATTTCAATAATCTTTGGTGTCATATTTTTCGAGAAATCTTTAGTGCATTAGTCGAGTCTTTTTTCAACTTTCAGCTATATTGCAATCCGACTTGAAAAATGGATTTTTTTATTCAGGCATACGTTAATGATTAATTGGCGATGCAGAAACTTCATAAAATGCATCCTGAGCAGCTATTGTATTTTGGATCTTTCTCTATTTATTATTTACTTACATAATGCAAACTATACAATTGACCAGTTAATCAATTTAAATGATAGCTTTTAAATACCTTGAAAAGTATCTTCATTGTTTCAGCGTAGTTTGCTAGGAAAAAACTAATCTGTCACAAGAGTGAGACAAGATAAAGAAACTGTTGTTATATATTAAAGTTACAGCAAGAATATTCTTCTATGCAATGCGCTGTATATTCCTGAAAGCCTGCCAAACAGTTGTACTGTTTTTATAGAACGGATAAATTCAGGTCAGCGCAGCAAATCATTTGTTGATGGGATGGCGTAGATTTGTGTAGTGCGCTCAGGTTCCGAACAAATGGTTCTCAAATGTGTATCGTTTGAACAGTGCCTGATGTACAGGAATTGATGCGGAGGAAGGATGAACACTGGAAAGGTTGGAACAGTGGCCTCTCAACAAGATTCGATACTGAAGAAGAAAGGAGAGGACTCTCACCCCTTTCTCCATTCTATTCAAAACAACTTTTGTTCGTCTTTCATTGTATTTGTCCGACCAGTGACCTAGAAACGTTGAAGAAAACCAGGTTCTGGACATGCCTATAGCAACTTTCGACCTCTGTACTCTTTTTTTATTCAGAACCTCAACCCATTCCTAATCTGGCATGTATTAATCTTTGATTCACGAATTTCTTCCCTAACCTCCGAAACGACTATCGTAGCATTGTCAACGCCAATACTGGTAACATTAGTTGCCACTATCGTAATAATAGCAGTGGGATAAACGGTGTCGTAGTATAAGATAAATGAACGGTACCGGACTTCGGCATATTTTTTAGTGGGAGATTTCATCCCCACAATTATTTTATATGATAAATTAATATATCACTGAGTTCCATAAATGCATTAATCTGTGTGTCTTACACTAGTAGGCACGACACGTGCATAAAAACTGTGATAATGAAAAAGACGGGAAGATAAAGAAGAAATGGAAATCCGAGGAATCTGCAGACACCTCACCGAGCAATCTCACCCAGTGCACAAAGACACAAAATGGTCAGTTGAAACGGTCATTGTGTTGATGGTTTGTGCGCTCCCATTTTTTGTGTACACATTTTCAGCTGACGTTTCACAGTCATTCGTTAGTGCAGTTTCAATTTCAAATTAACTTTTATTTTCATTTGCACTTCTTTCGATATTCCATATATCTTTAACTTTCCTATCAAATTAGCTTGGCGAGAAACTTTATCATAATGACTGTTTATACTTCCGCCGTAGTATCTTTTCGATGATGTACGTATTATACCGCTTTCTAAAATAAAAATTTTGCAGATTTTCAAAATCTCGGACCTTTTGATAGAGATTTCAGAGCTTTATGAAATGATCAAGTTAATTCTAAAGAATTCAAATTTCATGATTCAACATTGGGCTTTTCTTTAGTTAAGTTTTCAGATTGTTATACAAGATTCAATATGCTTATGAACTTTGTAGTTCCATGTTAGTAATTTTAATAGTTCCATTTCAAGAGCTAACATTTACTAAATATTTTATTATGCTGTACTTGGTGTACTTAGAGTAAGGTCTATTGTGGAACTTGTATTGAAATTCAGTACGATATGTTCGTTACTGAAATGCAAACTCAAGGATCGGATCTCAACATGGGACTCCCCTGAGTAGTGATACTCGATACATTAATATACGCTAGCTTTCGCAAAAATATCAAGAAACTGAAAAACGTGGTTTCACCTTTCTTCCACATTTCTAAATTCATGTCTCATTACATCTCACTGCTTCTATTATACAGCAATTTGTCCAAACTTTTATTATTTGAGAATGCCATGACCAGTGTGCATAAGTGCATGGAATTGCATTTCGAATAGTATAAAACCTACACACATCCACCCTTTTTCATTTCCTTCCATTCATAATCCTGTGGTATACTAAGTATTTTGCTAAAGACTAATATTTCAACTTTTTGCAGTGTAACATTTCAAATTTGGCAAGTATTCAATGAGCATTAAATCGATTTGTTTCCTTTCTCTATTGCTCATTAATTTTTTTTTGAAATATGAAGTTATTTTAAGAAATATAGTAATATCAATTACATATCGCAGCTATAATCTCGTTTTACTGCATGTCTTGTAACATTTGAAAGCAAATTTCAGACCTAAAAGTGAAAAAAAATTAAGGGAAAATATGCAAGCTTCACGGAAAGCTTATCAACAGAGATGAAGAAGTAAACGGAGTTAGCTGCAAAAATCGCTTATTATGCAGTGATATTAATAGTATCAACAATTCTAAATTACAAAAGACCTACTAAAAATTGAAATGGAATGGTGCAATAAATACAGTTGATGGAAAACATTCAGATTATCAAACCTGTATTAAAAGTAGCAAGCAGCTGATTGCGGGGCCTAAATTTGACACTTTCATCGTTCTGATTTTTTGATAGTAACTTGTTGTTACTTTTACCTTTCAACATTTGCACAGTAAATACAAACTGTTCCTGCTGCGTCCTTGACGCTTATCCGAATACTTTACTTGTCATTAGCTGCGTAAAACATTTTTGTACGGCTTCATTTGTTTTCCAGTGATTTCCATTATTTTTTTAAATTCTGCAATCACTACCTCTGGATTTCCTACAGGTGATTTTGCTAAGCATATTAGAATTGTAATTTCAAGGAATTCGAAAGTAGAATTTCTGCAAATCTTTGAAATTTTAAATAATGAAGTTGGTCACATTTGGGGATTTAGGGAAAATGAGCTCATTGAAAGCACTGCTTAATTCGAAATCATTTGACTCTATGACAACTTCCAATCTTGAAATGACAAATAGCAGTGGTCGGAAGCGCGGTGCAGCCCTAGAAGAATGGTTGCTGCGGAAGTTTCCTGAACTATACGGGAAGTCGCGTGATCTGGAGAGCACAACCGTCACAGCAAATGATGTCGAAAATCAACCGCTCAGTATGCTTTGTCTTTTGTGCATGTGAAGGTTTTCGTGCTTCATATTCACTTCCCTCTCAACATACTATACAACTGATATTGACCTGTAAACAAGCCTTATCTAGGATGAATGGCACCACTAATTCAGTGACTTAACGCCCACATGATTAAAATATGATTTTCGGCCTTCTCTTTTTTTCAATTGAAATTTTGGTGAAAAAGCGATAAAAATCTAATATTTTAACCACAAAAATTTCGTAGGATTTGCACCAACGTGAACATTTCTTAGAGATCCTTACCGTTTGTTACTGTGGTGATCAAATTTGATTTAAAAAAATGTATCGCTCGTATGTAGATGTCATTTCATTTCACTCTTGTTTGGTTATTTCGTTGGGCCGTTTTCTCTTTTCCTTTCACTTGATCATCCCATTAATGAATCATCAATTTCGTTATCCTTTCCGCACTGCCATCTCCTACTGTTATTTTCTTTAAAGATTTCCCTAAAAGGCAAACGATTTTTGATGTTTGAATACAACTTTTTTAATGCTTGCTTAGTAAGTAAATTGAAAAAAAATGAAGATGAAACATCAAAAAAATAATTAAATCAAAAATGCGTTCAATTTGAATGCATGGGCATTTATTTAGAGAATAGACAATATCATAATCCATTTTCTAATTGCGCAACTGTATGAACTTCAAATTTTCCAATTTTGTTGTTCAGATTTGGTGAAGCGAAGCAGGCGAGATGTAGAAGTGAAAGATGAAACACCAGCATTTTATACCGATTGTACGGGTCGTATTTATCCCAAAAGTTAGTTATTTATGACTTGCCGTTAAATTCCACAAAATATTTAAAGCATCCAAAATACAAGAAACAATTTCAAATATATACAAATTTCTTTATAGCATTACGAGCAAACAGTCATAATCGTATATCTGTGCAACGCTCAGATCCAAAACATGACATAATCTCAAGTGAATATTATGTACTACCGAAAGGAGATCTATTTAACCTAAAAAATGAGCACATATCAAATCGAGTGGACAACGGTAAGCTAAATCAGTGTGACCAACTTCTTCCATTTCTACTCTCGCTTAAGTATTGCATATCTTCTCGTGGAAATTGTTTTGTTGATTGTGGCACAGTTGAATAGTTTGACAAAGGTTTATTAGTTTATCGACTGTTCGTTCTTCCACGAAGTTTATTATAATATCATGAAGTACGGTCGATCTTGTTTCTTTATGTCGGAGTAGTACTGATAGCAGTACTTAATCAGAGTTGGAAACGAAAATGAATATGAATCGACTCGAAGCTTTATATATATATATATATTTCTTTTAAACTAAAAAGAGTCAAGTAAATAATATTTTACAGTGAGACTCATCCCTTTTGAAGGCAAAGAAAATTTAAGTGATCAGGAAATTCGTCGCTTGACATTTTATATTTAACGTTTGGAAACAATGAAAATTAAGTAATCAAAGAAACCGCTGCTTCATCTTTTGCAATCACTTAATTAGCGAAGCACATTATTTATGTTCCTTGAAAACAAAGAGAGCAAGCTACAATGTTGGTAGTACATTTTGACCGATTGAAGAATAATCACTATAGTATAATTTCTGCAGTACAAAAATACTTCATAAAAATATTTCCGTTTTCCGACGTATCTTGCCATTTCTGACACAAGATAGAACTCCTTCCCTGCGGTGACATATCAACACCGCTGAATCGCTTCATTTCTACGCATCATTGTTTACTAGAAAATCGATTAACTGCGATGAAAAATCGCCAGCTACCGCTATATTTTTCAGAATATTACACGGAACTCAAATCACATACGGATGGTGATCTTGAAGTTGAGACTAATAAACCTATCAATTTATCTTTATCCAAAAGACGGAAAAGAGTCTGTGAGCAAATTTCTTTGTGCTATACAATAAGAGTTTTTTCACTTTTTGGTTTCGCGACAAAGCAAGCATTTTTTAAAGAAGATTGGGAATTTTCAAATCCATCTTTTTTAATAAAACAACTCCTTCTGCGTATCGTTAGGTAATACAATATTTGGTGATAGTGAACGTATAAACGATCACAGCAAGTAGGAGGAGGAGAGTAATTTAACTTCTTCGATGGAAGCAGTAATTTCAGATTTGGAATGGAATGAAAGTGAAAGTAAAACATTACCAGCATCGAATTACGAAGGAAAGCGTGTTGATAAAAACATTAGAAATATCAATTCTGCAACAATGTATGGACAATATAGCAGCAAGCTACAAAATAATGATAAACGAGCTGGTGGAAGTATCTATTCGTTTACTACAAATAAGCAAGTTGCAAAACGTCTAACAACTCCTAAATTAACAAAGCACAATGATGCAGCCTACTATCCGAATATTCAATGCCTACTTTGTCGAGAGTGGGTGTGTTCCAGAAATAGGTAATTTCTCATTCGTTACTTTCACTCCATATTCTGATTTTAAACGCCAAAATTTTCTTTACTTCTATTTGTAAGCCTATTAATATATAAATTATACGCAACCTCAATTATTTGTTCTTCAGCATAATCTCAATACTTTAGCAAATCACGTACATGTCGGAAACTGAAATCACTTTTACCAATTTTGGGAAAAAAAAAATTTTTAAAAGGGTGAAAAAGAGTGGAGGATAAATGAAACATTGTGTGAGTTATTCTGCAGTGACACTGTTTAGAATAAATTTGCAGTAAATTTTCAAAGAATATGCTCACTTTATGATATAAAATAGATACAATACTCCGATTCACACTGTTATCACGGCCTTTTCAAAAAGATAATCAAAAATATTCATTTTAAGAATGATTTTCGAAAATTCCTATTGCGTGTTGATGATAATTCAGAAATGAATTAAAATCAAGCTACATGAAAACTATTGCTTAAATGAATGCATTTCAGATACATGCACGTCGAATCGCATTTGCAATATCGCCCATATAAATGCAGTTTTTGTGGATACGATAATAGAAAAGAAATATTTATTATATTGCATATCAAAAAAGTGCATGGTGGCAGGGCTGAAGTTATCCGGGATATTAATACTGAATTAGAACATGAGTGGGTTTTTCCAACAGTGCTGAAATTAGATAAATTTGAAATTAATGTAGTTAGTATTACAGTGTGAGTTATACGAACAAGTGCATATGTATGATTAACAATTAAAAATAAAAATTCGGTTGCAGAGCATGGAACATTGCAGAACGATGTGTTGAGCATACACGAGACGTACTGCATCGTGCACATCAAGAAGCTGTTCAGGATGATAAAGCATCGACATCTACGGAATCCAACAATTCTACTAAAGTTGAAGAGGCATTGCTTAGCAAATATTCAACGCAGGTTAAATCATTTCATTTTTGCCACTTCTTTTCCATTTTACTAAGAAAAAAAAGATGATTAACGTTTTTCTTCGAAGACTCATCAGAGTAACGAAGAAAAGTTTTTCTTTTCAATTAATCGTTATTTTCTTTTTTTTTCAAAATAATGTAAAATTGCAGTACCGCCCAAAATTATACAACACACAACGAGCGGAAAAAAGTCTAGTTATTGAGGATTCGTTGAAAATGGGTATTGTTCCTGATTTTAGTGAGGTTTCAAATCGGGAAGTGAAATGTCAGGTGAGGCTTTACAATGGTGTTAAGCACAAAGGTATTTTGAGTTAATAAGAAAGGAAGTTACTGATTTGTTTGACTTTTTTATATTTTAATGAGCAAGCGAGTTCCAAGGTCATCTGTTATATCTACACATGATAGCAGTTCACTAATTCTCAAAGATTGGTGAATGCAATCAACCTACTGGTATTGGTTTAGTAAAAAGATGACATAAAAGTTATTATTTTGCAAACATTTTGATGCAGCGGATCTAATTTAATAATCCTAATCTCAAGCGGTGACTATTTAACGAAGCGCTTTTGTCACTGTTATGATTTTTAATATATCTTTCGACTTTACTTTCCAAGTACAATTTCGATTTTCTTATAAGCAAGATCTCCGTGATTTCTTTTGAGGAAGATTACTGAGAAGTTAGGATAAGGTTCCAAATGCATCAACATTTAATGTAATCCCGCCAGCATCATTGCTTAGACCAAAAAATTTCATTAACCAATTCTAACTTTGCTTACATTCTTTCGGTTTGAGTGAATATTGTTCCTAATGAAGCGTTGTTTGACTTGTGAATGCAAACCTGTCAATCTTAGAAATTGTGCCAATAGTACAAATACTAATGGTTTAGTCTTTATATTTCTTGGGATCACTTAATTCTAAATACGAGAAATATAGTACAGATAGAGAAAAATAGGTCTGATATTTAAATTTTGCAATTGATTTTGCAGATTTGTAATGGTTTTGTGATTTCACATGTAACGGTTATGGAAGAACATACTCGGTCACATCTCATGCAGCCATCTTACCGGTTAAATTGATTCATTCAAACTCACATTTTATAATGACAAACAGGCTTCAGGCTTAGTTTGAACTCAACTTTATAAAATGCAAAGCAGGGGAAATATAGATAAATGACTAGATGAACTGAGAGTAAAAGTGTTTTAAATGGAGAAAATGAAGCAATGATTTTGTACAATATTCGATTGCAGTTGTTCCGTTGGAGATTGCACACTGCAGCATCACTCAAAAAATTTCTTAACACGACACATGAAGGAAGTTCACAAATATAAGCGAACTCCGACAGATATCATAGAATTGGATTCATCTCTTAAAAAGGAGTTTTGCAAAGTTTGTGTAATATTCTTCCTATATCTATGAGTTATTGCAAGCTCCGTAAGAATAAATTAAACGGAGGTTGAAAACTGATATAATAAGTTTTTGTAGTTCACTGCAAGCCAAAGTAGTGAGAAATGCTAAAGTAAGCCTCACGTAGTGCTAATAATCCTACATAATTGCTTTAAGTTATAGAGAGCTTTTTTTCTTTTTTGAAAAAAGTTGGCCAGGTTCTATTTGTAATGACAAATACTTCAAATAAGAGTTCCTTGTTCCATCTTTCATGCCCAGCACACTCAATAAATCTTTAAAAGTCAGCAAAATCGTGAATGTCACATTAAGCATATAATCAGTCAAAAACTATGGCTATGATCACGAATTCATGGAGTAAATTTTCGAATACAACATTGACTCATTGCAGATCGCATCTCAATGTTTTCCAAGTCATTTTTCGGATCATCTTTCTTCATTTCATGTTTTTCGGCGATCACCATTACCACGGTCTCCATTATTGAAATCATTAACAGAAACAAACTGGTGCATTCCATCTACTTATTCTACCACTTCAGCTATGCAAAATGCTGCCCTATCAATGTCAACTCTAACATCCACTTTTAAAACGTCCAATACTCCAATTATTAAACCAACATCATCACTTCTCACAACTATACTTCCATTGAATTTGACGCTTCAAACTCCAACACCATCGAATGATGATGTAGCGCTACTGCTTCCAACAGCGCCTACTCCTTCTTTAAAATATACGCCTCGCTTAAAAGATCTAATGAGCGGATCCAGCGTTCCAATAGCCAATCCTGAATGTAAACCATTCGTTTTTCATGCAACAGAACACAGCTCATCAAAATGTATCACATTAACTAACCTTCTAGCAGCTGCACCAAAGAATAATCCTCCACAGGTGCGCTTCATAACCCTTAAAATGACTTACAATCATTTTTATGTTGTAAAGTTGGTTGAAATTATTTCATTAATAAATTGATCGTCTTATCGTTTCAGGCACGCATACAACCGTTAACACAAACACCGATATCACGGAAAACGTGCAGTTTTTGCCAAGAGGTATTCGAGGGCGAGTATTTTGTTTTGTATAAACATGTCAAGCAACATTTAAGCTTACTACCTTATGAATGTTCAGTATGCAAATTTGCTGATGTGGACAGAAAAACTGTCCAAGAGCATATTTCTCATGACCACTTGAAAGCTACTCTTATTGACAGGTAATTTCACGAAAAAATGTCATTCGAAATTATTTAATTTCAAATTTCCAGCATACTACTACTACATATTGAGAAATCTACTTAAATGAGAAAAGTACTGTTGAGTCATTATCTGGAAGCATATTGATTGACCAAATAATTCTGGTAATTTATTAAAATACGTTTATTCACAAAAATGTTACAAGCGCTTACATTAAATGCTTCATAAGATTTAAATCACCAATGTTACTAAAAAAAAACATTTTTACGATAACTTCAGGATGACAGATGCAATATCTCGACAGTGCTCAGCATTATTTACGGCCTGTTTTCCGGACGTACCGTTGCAACCATCATTGCATGATAATGTGCAAAAATGAATTCTGAAAATTAATTGTTCCGTTTCCTAAATAAAATTTCGTAAAAAAGCATAAATTACGATACATATCGTTATATGCATTACAAATCGAAGTTGTGTCAGTTTCTCAAATGCTTTGTTGGATACGACTTCGTTGTTTTTTCCTTTTAAATTTTGATATACAAATTTTTGTTATTTTTAATATCTGTATTTTAATGAAAGTGATATTTTACAATTACAAGGATCATTATAATATAAGTAAGGAAGACTGTAAATATGAGAACAAAAATTCCTCATAAAGAAATTAATCTTCTAATTCATGTCATTTTGGACTTGAAAAAAGTAAGTGATCCATGAAAAACGAAGATGGAAATGAGAGGAAAGAAATTAGTCAAATCGCAATATGAACAAAAAAGTAGCCTACAAGTCATTGGTTGATTATGTGGAAATGTTTCGAGCCGTTTATCGGAATTAATTATGTCTCGGAAATAAATATCCCATTCTGTGATATTATTAAAATCACGGTGTCTTTCTATGTACGGTCGGTAAGGAAAAGGTTTGGGAATGATTAATAAATATGCTGTCTAAAATTCACAACTTTAGATTATTTTTTTTAAGAAGATTAAACTGCCATCCATTCTGTCCGTTCAAATTAACGGCCGAAATAGTTTTCACTTCAACTCTCGTATGTAACGAAGTGGATATTATCCAGATAACTAGATCACTCCACGATCGATTGATGCTTTGGCTGCAAATTGTTCATCAGTGTGTTGCATCTTTTCTCTGCTCGTTTTTTGATTGCATAGCAATTTCTCTATTCGAAAAGTTTAACAAATTTTAAAATACATTTGCTACACCCAACATTCATCGACAACTACCTCATTTTCTTTATTTTGTTGTTGTTTAATTTTCTTCCAAATTTCAACCTATTATCAGGAAACATTGCTTTAATTTTTATTGTTTCTCCGAAATGAAATCCAGCAGAAAGCACTGATTGAAAATTATTTATTTTGAGTCAATACTCGATTAGTATAACTGATTAATGAATCAGCCTTATCATTCTTCTTTTTTATTAGGCAGGCAATATATGTGATAATTGTGATATATGGGGTATGTATTTGTTTAGCGTTTTTTTTTAAATATTCATTCATTCATAGAAATTCTTAGAATTCTGATGGTAAAATTTCTTCATAAACAAAATTTTCAACACACAGTTCAACCGATTCATTTACGCAAATCATATACTGATATGACGGATGATAATTTCGTGCAATACGCTTCCGCTAACGTCCAACAAACTTTTACTTGAAATAATCAATGTTTCTATCTTTACTTACTCTGTCTACGACTTTTTAATTAGTTTTAAGCAAAATCATTTTAATTGGGTAATTGGACACTAACGTGTTCTCAAATGTTGTAACTCTACACAGTGTTTTAATCAAAGCATGGAGACATTGAAAGAATGAATGGATGGATGGTATTCCTGGAAATCTCGTGCTGGGCAGTTATAGTAATATGGTTTCTACCGGGTGGTGGACAGTGTGGTCAAGACGCTGGACGCTTGATGGAGGACCTTCTCGCTGATTACAATAAGCTTGTTAGGCCTGTTGAAAATGACACTGATACGCTGATTGTTCGACTGAAACTGAAACTCTCGCAGCTTCTTGACGTAGTATGTTATTTGGCAATTTGCTTTGATATTACTTGTAGGACAGCCTTAAACTCTTTCTTGAATAATAGGATTAATCAATTTGGATACATTCCTTATTATATAAAGTGTAATACTAGAAATGAATAGTAGTTTATTCATTTGGATTTGAAATAAGCAAGAATCGGATAGAATCAAATAAAGATAAAAAAATATATCATGACAAACATTTGAATGCTGAATTTAAACTAAACTGTTCACTTGACGGTAATTAAACCGCTTCTTTTTTCTTTCTCCTTTTCATTTTTTACTATCTATCCAATTATCTGCAAAATTAGTTTGAATTATTTTAGCATGAGAAGAATCAAATAATGACGACAAATGTATGGCTGCAACATGTAACTTTTTTCTTGCTTTCAAGTTCCTTAAGAAATAATTTACTTGAACAATGTTACATTACTTATCTTACAATAAGTGATGATGATTTTTAATTGGATATTCACTGTAAAAGTTTTTTTTTTCGAGCTGGACTGATTACAAATTAAAGTGGAATCCAGCAGATTACGGTGGAGTGACTGTATTATATGTGCCATCCGATATGATTTGGTTACCGGATATTGTCCTTTACAATAAGTATATTTTCCATTCCTTCCATTTTTTTAAACATGAAATCAAACTTTCTAATTTCTATTGAAAAGCAACATAAAAACGCATCGAATGAATGCTTTATTTCGCTTATATCTCATAAGTTAATGTATAGATCTCACCAAGTGGTTTTGGTGGCAATTACTTTTTAGATGCATGTTTCTGAAGAATCATTTTTAGCGCAGATGGTAATTATCAAGTATCAATAATGACAAAGGCAAAACTGTCACCCAATGGTACTGTGGAATGGTCGCCTCCTGCCATTTACAAGAGGTCCTTTATATTTCATAATTTATTAGATGAAATTTTACTCGGCACTCAAATATTGCAATTGACAAACATATTGAATAAGATATTTGAAATATTTTCTAACAGTTCTCGTGGATGTTTTCGGGTAAAAATAATGGATCAATTATTGGATATCTGAAGAAAATTTAGAAGTTAAATAGTTACAAATGGCTTCGACGATCACTTTGATACGGTTAACGTTTTGTTTCAGCATGTGCCAAATAGAAGTGGAATGGTTCCCTTTCGACGTGCAAACGTGTGAAATGAAATTTGGTAAGATAAAATCTTGTTATTTTGTACCTTTTAAACTTATAAACAATCACTAACTTCATTTCTAAAAACCTCCTTATCATTTTTAAGATCAATCAGCGCAAATTTTCAGTATGAAAAAATCCAATTTAGTGAATCAATGATAGATCATGAGCTATGTATGAAATTCTAATAGAGTATCGTAATTTAGGAAATAATTATTGAGATCCATAATTTTATGGCACTGTTTGTCAATGAATATGATTTCTTTCTCAAAAAACGATATGGGAGATATCAATCATCCATTCAATATGAAAATAATCAGATATATAGAAAGTTTCGCAAAAAAAAGAGAATGGCTTGCTTTTTTTCAATTGATTTATAGGTTCCTGGACATACGGCGGCCTGGAAGTTGATTTACAACATAGAGATTCACACATTGAAAGGGCAGAAACAGAAACATTGCTTGGTTTCGATGGTGAATATGATGAAACTGTATGGATTGTTGATGAAGGTTTGTGCACTTTACTCAAGTATAGAATTCTTGAACTCAAAAAGTCAGCTAAATTGTGCTGTTAAAAAGGAAATTAATGTAGAAAGATTTAAAAGAAAACTACCATTATTTCCCTTATACCTATTAGTTTTTTCATTTCTTTAATCAATTTTATGTTTCAGGAATTGACCTAAGTGATTATTATCCAAGCGTCGAATGGGATATACTTGGCGTACCGGGTAAGCGTCATTTAAAAAGGTAACAGTAATGGTATATGTTCCTTACGACCAATTTAATTGCAAATTTATTTCGATAAAAAAAAATCAAATCATTGTTCTAAACTATGTAAATTTATCCGCAATTACTTTATAATAATCTCATTTTAAAACTATCGAACCTGTAAGCAGTTGTAATTAATTTTAGATATCCGTGCTGTGAATCGCCTTTCATCGATCTAACATACGAGATACGCTTGCGACGCAAGACGCTATTTTACATCGTCTATTTGATTTTTCCAATCGTCAGCATCAAGTAAAACGCAATTTTAAATAAGGTTCATCGGCGGAAAGCTCACTGTTTAAAATTTTTTATTGGTATTTATCAATTTATAATTGTGATTTTTCAGTTTTCTAACGGTTCTAGTGTTCTATTTACCTTCGGATGGCGGTGAAAAAATATCACTTTGCCTTAACATACTTATTTCACTCACTATATTTTTCTTATTGCTTGGTAAGCTTTTCTGTTTGATATAAATTTAAAATTAAATTTAATGAAAACGATTGTTGCTTGTGGATTAACATGGATATTTGTTGCAGTAGAAATAATTCCTTCAACTTCACTCGTTATACCTCTTATTGGTAAATATCTATTATTTACAATGGTCCTCGTTACTTTATCTGTTATTGTCACAGTTATAACATTGGTATGTTCAATTTCATTGCAAATACAACAATTTGAAATAAAATAGAATTTATATAATGGGATAGAACTTATATCAGTTTTATCAACTATTGTTTGATGAAGAATGATATGAAAATATTGAGACGGTTCATTTTACATCTCTTTATATTGTAATGTATAGTATAATGGCAGTAGAATTTTTCATAGTGGCGCTTAAAAGAATTATTGAAGAGAAGACTTATCACTTTAAAAAAAGACTGAAATTTTATTCTGAAATCAGTGAAGCATGAATCAATAAAAAGATTTCTAAATGCGATATACTAATGCTTCACTATCTCTAATATTGCATTGTTATTAAAATCTCTTTATATATCGCCTATTTTATTTAAATATTGATTTTACAGAATGTACACTTTCGATCCCCTTCAACTCATACAATGCCAGAATGGACTAAAAGAATTTTTATCGAATTTTTACCCAAATACCTTTTGATGAGGCGACCATCACCAATAAAAATCAGAAACAATTCTACTAATACCGTTTGTTTCATTTTCATTTTTTAGGTGTTATAATATAATACAATATATAGTAGTATTATGCAGTTTATCGCTTTACCGTGGTACTTGAGTGCTTCTTTGGCATAATAAATTTCCGATAAGATTGAAAAATGGAAAGCAAAGCTGCGAGATAGCTGAACATTGTCTCATAATGTTCATATTTGAAACCAACAGCTGATAATAAAATGCTAGTTGCTACAGCAAAACTATAGATTTAACAAATGATTCGCTTTTCAGTTCATTACTCCCAAACGTCCAGACAGAAGATTGTCAAATTTCAGTCGACCACGTGACCACACAGTTTCTGCTTTATTTGATCAGGTTCTTATTGTTGGTTGTGTTGAACAAATTGAGAGCAAAAATAGTTCTATATAATTATTTGTACTATCACTATTCTTATTAACAGATTATGACTTTCTATTCAAAACTATTAGCATATTTTTCACGAAATAACAATAATGTTATTATTGAAATTCTATTCATATAAAAATTTATCCCGAAGCTTGCTATAGATGGATTTTTTATCTCCGGCTTATCGATCGTCATTCTGCACAATGAGAAGTCATGACGGTAGCAGTTTTGCAAGTTTCCAAAAAGAACTTACACCGGTGATGAGTGCTGTTGACAGCGTCACATTTATTGCAAGTCAAATGAAGGATGATAAAAGTGGCCAACAGGTTCATCCATATTTCTTTTTATTTTAATATTGCAGTTAAAATCTTCTGCTCAACTCCTTTCAATTATTCGAAAGAACCGAGAATAAGCCAGAAGAATTCTTTCATAAATATACTCTTCTTAAAGTGGCTAATTTAACTTATGAAGCAGTCAAATACCAAAGCCATCTTAATTATTTCAATCATTATAATATAATCTACATAAACTGTGACGAGAATGACTGAGATTTAGATAATCGAAGACTGGAAGTATATATCCGTCGTGATGGATCGATTATTCCTCATATTATTTACAACAGCTTGCATGATCGGCAGCATTGTCATCGTATTACGAGCGCCAACCATTTATGATACAACTATTGCATTGGCGTAATGAAATACTTGCCAGTGAACGATGTAGCATTTTTTATCTTTCAAAAATTTGAGGAAAAATGCTTGTTCCTATTGTCTGCATTTTCTGCAAGCAATTTTCTTAGGCTTATTAGGAAAATATTATGAAGCAGTTTATCCTAACCTTGTTAAGTACTTGAGGATGCTCTTCAGAAATCTTTGATTTTTTTAAAAAGTCTCAAGTTATCATATTAGTACTTCGACTATGGATAATAACTCAAATCATCAGATCAGTAGTTCAATTATGGATAATAATTTGCTATTAGATGTCATATAGCAATACTATAATCTTACGAATCAAATTAATTGTATTCTACATTGCTATCAACTATTGATATCCGTTACAAACATTTGCCTGACAAAATTGCTCCATTTCCAGATTTGTTCTGTTTATATCTGTTTATATCCTACTATAAATAAATTGCGACATCATTTATTTGTTCCTTTTACGTATGTAACAGGATTACTAATTTGCATATCCATCAAGAGCCAAGATTTCTGATTCTTATTCTCAGGGCACTAAAATAAAACCTTTAGTCGGAAGGAACGGAACGTTGCTGTAATTTTTCTGCTAATATGATCAGAACCAGTTTTTAAAATCATTTTCATACGAAAAAATTAAAAGCAGTAATCCATAGAGATCAGTACAATGAAGATTTCGCAGAAAAAAAGTGCTTCGCAAAAACAGCTGAATAGAACAAGTTGATTAATTGTAGAGAAGCAAGCATGGAAATATATCACACAAAATGGTATTCAGCTGAATGATGACATACAATTCATGACAATATCAATTGAAAAAAGCAGACAAGGGCAAAAAAGTCTCATTTCCAAAATTAGTCATGTTGAGGAACCCGGAACCAAGTGCCACGTTTCAACGCTGCAGCCCACATTTCCTTTTGCAATGTTCTCATTAATAAGAGTTCCGGCGGTTCTAATTTCTTGATTGGTTCAAATCTTAAAAAAATCGTTAGCGTCAAGCGATCATTTCTTTCATAGATGGATCTCTCCTCAAGCTTTTCATTTTCTTCTTCAACGAGTAAAAGAAGTGTTATCCCGTTCTAAAACGGTATTGATATATTAAATCTAAAATCTTTCAGGTATGTGTGTGTGTGTGTGTGTGATAAGCTTATCGGTTTGTTTTAGAGGTGATTATAGTAAGTAAGCAGTTGTAATATATCAAATGAATGTTTGGATAAAACTATATGTTGAGGATTTTATTTAGGGAAATAAAATAGGATGAGATTAATGAGTGATAAGATTGGAATGTTCATAATTTTTTTTTCCGTAGTATATTAGAAAAAGAAAAAGAAACAAAAACCGGAATATTTTTTTTATTCCGGAAATAGCAAATTTATCGCTAAAGAAATCCTTTTTCTTTTTCCTCGTTCTTTTTTTCCATTTTCTTTTTGAACTAAAATTTTTAATATATTTTTTGTGATAATCGAAAAGCAGAAGCTATTTTCTGTTGTGTGATAAATTAGTGATAATGATATGAATGATTATTATTAGATGTAATAATAGAGCTATAGGATAATTGTAATTTTGAAAAAGACGATAGCTATAATATGATAATATAGATAAATTAGTGATAATGATGTGAATGATTATTATTTAAAGTTATAATAGCTATAGGATTATTGTATTTCGAAAAAGATGATAGCTATAATATGACATATTGATAAATTAGTGATAATGATATGAACGATTATTATTAGAAGTAATAATAGAGCTATAGTAATAATAGGATAATTGTAATTTCGAAAAAGACGATATCTATAATATGATAAAATGGATAAATTAGTGGTAAAGGCATGAATGATTATTATTAGAGTTAGTAAGAGTTATATGATAATTTGTAATTTCAAAAAAGACGATAGCTATAATATGATAATATAGAATGTTATCAGTATTATCATTAACTTACCATTTAATTCATCTTTTACCGCTGCTACTCATAAATGATATATTTTGTTGTTCTTTCTACTTCATCATTTCATTCATCCATTATCATCCATTCAATTATGCAAATTGTTTTAATTATTTTATTGATCGATTAAAATAATCATATAAATTTGAAATTAATCAATTTGTTAGTTTGAAATTAGAAGAAATCAATGAATGGAGAAATAGTAAAAGATATTAATCGTATAAACTTATCGTTATCATTATTATCATTTGCTAAAAGATTTCATAATTCATCGTAAAATCCTGAAAACAGTGCTTTCCGTAATTATAAAAATCTGATAGAAATTATTCTGTTAAAGAGAAAGAAGAGAGAGAGAGAGGAAAAGAATTACTAAATCGGAAAAATATTTTGTATGAATTACTGATGTAAAAATCTGATAGATATGATAAAATGATTAATTGAATATATACTAATTTGATTTAAGCAAAAAATATAAAAAGACAAAATAGGCTACTGTAATGATAATAATTTTGGTAATATAGGAAATACTCTTTTATATAACTTCCGGTTATACATATATCTAATTATTTATGATTGATATGATAAAATGAATAATTGAATATGATTGGTTAATTATCATATATTTCACAATAATAACTTTTATTCGAATGATTTAGTATTAGTAAAGAAATTATACTGTTAACACTTTGATAATCAAATGTTAAAGAAGAAAATGTAATTTCGATTTTGCGGTATTAAAATATTCATCGTAGGATTGAAATGATTTTTAGTTCGAATATTAGAACTTAAACTCTTTTTAATATTCACTTATCGAAATAATTAAATATCATTAATACGCTAATATCATTAATAAATATACAAATCACGTCTTTAAAGGATAAATATCAGTTATATCACTAATCATGTCAATATCATTAATCCGATTGTACAAATCAGAATAGTATTGCCAAGCGTGTGTCTATTTGAATCTTTAGCTTATGAGAGGATAAGTATATCATACGTCGATTTGTATATAACTTTTGTTGATAAGAAAGCTGAAAACATCATCATCTTATACTAACTAATCCTAATGAAACTAATCCATTAATCTTAAATTGGATTAAAGCAATAACGCTGCTCGCTCGCAAATTTAAAAATCTCCAATGCCACGACAAAATCCCAGTCATCCAAGCCCAACAGGCCGAGATGTGGGCCGTTACATCCGGATTATCCGCATTTTGCGCACCTTTTTTCCGCTTCAGGCTCGCGATCATGGGCAATATTTTGATATGGTCTCATCCTGTTACAATTTCCGAAAGTCAGGCTCTCTCTTTTTTTAGGCACAAATCACCTAGCTGGTAAGTATCATCGGCCATCTTTCAACTGCCATATTTTTAAATTTATTTAAATTTTTTACAAATTTCTTATCATTTATCTATGGTACTTCAGTGGTACGCTCCCTCAGTTTATTGAAAAGTAAATACGATTTTCATAGTAATTTGTCTTTATATTCGCCTATTATTAGAACAAATCTTCAAGGCAATTATTTCTGATAGTGTTAGCTTTGTCTACGATCATTAAATATTTATATTTTCATTGCACTTAATCTTCAGGGATATTATCCATGAATTCTATAGTTTTCTTTCCTTTCATTTTATTTCATTTCATTTGATATTTTCAAATTTGAAAATTTCTTCTTTAAAATCAATTTTTGCGATTATTATATATTTGCAGGCTCATTTCATACGTATTTCAGATATATTGTTATTTATCGCATTTTCAATTTATTTCGGAAAAAATTCTTTTTACAGATTTGCTTACTATTGAGGTGTCTGTTGTAATGTCATAATTTGCCTTGTCACCTAATGCTCAAGAAATGTGATGGTTCAACGTATACGCCTGCGTTATCGTCAATGTCGAGATTCAGTCCGTCAAGGAGTTCAATTATCAAAATTGGTAAGCATCAACGTCGTGCTATCGCCACAACAACCAATGCCACTAAACCGGTTTGTTTCTTTTTTCTTTTTCTCTTTAAAATTATCTCTAAATTCCAATTATTTCAATAGATTTTTTCTTTTTCCTAAGAAAAAAATTGAGGAAATTGACGGGATGAGAAAAATTGCAAAACAGCTATGTCTGTTTTAAGTATATGCCTGAAATGTTTTGCAATGGCTAAGCTAGACTGATAAAATGAGGGGTTTTAATTTTTAAAAAATTTTTTCAAAATTCATTTGAGAAGTTCAATCTTTTGTTTAAATTCTCTTAAGCCTTTTTTTTGTCTGGAACTTTCCTCGAAGTTTGGGTTTTGTCTTATATTTATTATATTCCACATTCCGTTTCGTTCTCTCCTAGTTTACTTTATTTTACGAATTCAATAATTGTATGGAGATATTAAGTGACCATTAGAGGTCGCTTGTTTTCTTGTTCGCTCTTAAACTTTCCAAAAAAAATTTTAGCTTGAATATCTTGACAAAGACTCTATTTTTGGAAAAATAAATAAAAAAAATAAAAGTAGAGAAGAAACTCTCTGGCACTATTTAGCATACATTCGCGAACAAATAGGTCGAATTGTGAAATCTCAAACTGATTATTCTTGAGACAAATGACTTTAAAAACAATCTCTAATAAACGGGAAAGGAATGATGAAATGAAACGAGCAGTGGATATTTGATTTTTGTATGTGCACTCTCGGTCGGAAAGAAGCGAATAGCAAGAATATCCTAAACTTTACAGTTGTTTCATTGGTGAAAATTCCCGAAACTATTTTTGAAAAATTTTCAAGTTTTGTAAATTTATTCCTGAGCACAATAATTATTATCAACAATATTATAGAATCATTATGATTTCTACGTTGCAAACCAGTTCCTGACGGTCAATTCAGTGGGTCAACAGGTTAACGAACTACGATCAAAACCGATCTATGACGTATTTTTAGGTGGCAGCTGTGGCAACACTGTATGGCGAAGAGACTTGGTTACTATTGTTATCCTTTTGTATGTGTGGTTTTAAATTAATCACACTAGTTCAGGAGAGTCTCTTTCTAAAGAATAAAAAATTCTAGTATTTGACTGAGCAGTGAATTTTATTTTATAGGTAATACCGTACTTGGAAAAACGCGCTATCAGCTACTATGATCCTCAGAGAAGTGTTTGGAATGAACATATGATTAACGAAGAAAGCGTTGCCAAAGAGGTTTTTTTCTTGCCTAGTTGTTTTATAAATAACTTGAAATACTAGACAATGAATTGATATCAAGTATATGTGCTGGAAACAAAAGGTTAATGTAGTAGACATATGGTTTGTTATTATCCGGTATGATGGAAGGGAGGAAAAGATCCAGGAATGATTAAATTTAATGTCTATAGCCAATGTCTACAATAAAATATTTTGTTTCAGAATTCAAATCTGTTTCTTTTTGTGCTTGATCCAGCAACTGTTAATGCGACATCATTTCTGGAAATTGCATATTTTGCTGCCCGCAAAGCACCCAAGTTAGTGGTTGTTTTCTTGAGGAAGTCAGAGTGGAAGAAACGGGCACATCCTGAGGATTTACTTGACAGGCAACGTACTTGTGATCTTCTCGATGATATACTAACAATGCACGATGTTCCTGTCTTACAGTCCATTCAGGTTTTTCTTTTTTGTTGAAAGTAGCCAAGTTCATATTCATTTTCGTATTATTTCATTCCATCTCTTGAGCGACTTTTGTTCCAAAAATATTTGAGAAAATCTCAGTTCTTTCAAATTGAAACTCGAAAAAATTAATAATGAAATCATTAATTTATTTCTGTGACAGCTTCGAATTTTTTATGGTGCTAAGCGACGTCCTTTGAATGCTATTAATTGGCGTTTTTACATTCCAGTTTACTGTAAGTTAGGTGTTAGAATATCTCGGATTTATGTGTTTTCTTTTGGCACTCCAAAATTCTAAATCCGCATATCGTCTAATGGAAGTCCATGATTAATGGAAGCAAATGGAGTTTAATGGAAGCATTTATAGGACGCTCTTCGTTACATTGATGAAATTATAATTGGTGAAAAGAGCTGGTCCGAAGCAATGTCTAATCCGTTGCAAAGGCTTCCATATATGCTCCTACGAGGGAGGCGTGCATGTCGGCAATCAGTAAATCACATACGATATGCATTACGAAATGTTAAAAATAGTGTAACAAAGTGGAGGGGTTGCAAGTTTCTCTTACTAGGTAATTCGTTTCTGTCATTCTGTATTCCGATCCTTATTACACAAAAATCTGTCCCTTTAATCTCCCCCTACCTCTAGCCTTAGTTGAAATGAAAAATTCTGCACTAATAAATCTTTTCATTTCGTCATTTTGATTTTATTTGGGAATTTTTTCTTTTGGCCAATTTTTTTGTAACAGCGGGTTTTTTAAAAATAAGGATTCATTTTTTATACTGTCATTCAAGATTTCGAATTTGTTTGACATTTTTCATCAATAACAGTCTTATTTTTTCGAACAAAAGTTTAAAGCTGACATTTTTTCTGCAGCGGAGAAAAATAATGAGTTCAAGATTGAAGTATCAGTTAAAACTTAATAGGTTTGAAGCGGAAAAGGGATCGAACTACATCTTATCTACGGTGCTAAGCCGCTTTGGTAAATTATACTAATGGACATTTGATTTCAATTGAATTTTTTAGGTTTGTTTGAAATTTTATTATTATTGGCGGTGTATTTCTTCCTGCGTACGCTACCACTTATTCTCCTACTGATACCATTTCTAGCATTTGATGTTTTCATGGCACTTTTCTCAGCCATTTATTATTGCTATAAAATAAATGCAGCTGCACGACGTCGTGCTAAATTAATAAATGCAGCAGCAGTATCACTACCAATACCCGGTCATGCCGTTGTGCCTTGCAATATCGTTGCTCAGCAAATACCGCTCAGTTATTGTTATCAGTCGATGAATAGCAGTATTCATGCAGCTGCAACCTCACTTCCTTCACGTTGTAAGTCTTTTTCCTACAGTGAGTAATTCTTCTGTTTTCTTGCTGATTTCATTTAAAGTTTAAATATTTCAGTTAAATTTGAACGATGCTGATTAGTAAATAAATTTTAAATAATGTTTAAATTGTACATGAAGAAATTCCGCGTAATTCTTTGTGAATTAAATTTGATCAACTTAAATGAATTTATTTAAATCGAAATTTCTGCTTTGAATTATTATTTCACACACTACTTTATTATTCGTTTACAACTATTTTAAATGTCAGTTAGGCTAAATTAAGTTGGGCATTATTTTAGATAACATTTTACTTTATGATTCTAAGGCTTATTTTAAATTTTGATGTACGCTGATGCCATGATTGCAGACACTGAGAAAGTACAAGCAACATTAGGCATCTGGTTATAGCTAAAATACAGTGATTTCTAAATTCATGGCGGCAAATGATGAAATCATTATTTGCAGAAGAATCAACATTAAAATAAAAAGAAAACGTTGAATCAAAAATTTTGTGTTGAATCAAAAATTTTTAAATTGAATCAATATTTTTGAGGTAGTTACATAGAAACAAATCTAATAAATTTGCAGTATTGAAAAAGCGGTCGTATGATAGTAGCAGTAGTGTTGCGAATCCACTAAGATGGATGAATGCGAATGGATATGATATTTTTCTCGGATGCAGTTCGAGAAGCCGTATTGACCTTGCTTGGATTAATCATTATGCAGCACCGCAGCTACAGTTGGCTTTTTATGTTTTTTTTTTTTTGCATTTTTTAAGATCTTAATTTTCTAAGTATAAAACTTAGCAACTTCGATTAATTTTAAGAATGCTGAAGATTTGGTTGCAATTAAAATATAGTTATTTCCAAATTTGAAATCCCAGAATCAAAGCTTTGGCGCTGATACTTATAGCTCACAGCATTTTCTGATATAATAATACGCCGCGCTTTGTTGAGATTAACTTTTTCAGAGAGAGATTATGAGATTATGTAATTCAGTGTCTCAATCATCTACTTTTTATGTAAGTTGTATGAGAATTTTGGGTCAAAACTTAACTAATTCAAGTTTTTTTTGCAGTAGGAAAGGATTGTCATTTTGTTCGGAGTTAATAGTGGAAAGGCATAGACGATTGAATACTTTACATATGACAAAGCACATACTTTATCATATACCGTCTTATGAAACTATGCTCTCAGGCATGGTTGAGGTATACTTTTTGTAAAGAAATGAATTATGCTAATCACCTATCACTGAAAAATGAAATGTTTGCAGGCTGAAGTTCTCTTCTATTCAAGAGATTTCAAGTCTGCGCTGGAATCATTGCTTCAAATTTTTTTTATATGACTTCGATGCAATTTTATTTATGTAATTATCAATTAAATTGCTATAATGCGTAATGATTCATTTATCAGTTTTTTTCCACCTTAGGTAGCTTATTTGCTTGGTCATCCAACAATGGAGTTGACGATTTGTATGCCAAAACGTGCTAAAATGTTTGTATCTACATCGAACAATGATGATGAATTAAGAAAATATATTGCAAGGCGTAATGAATCATATCGTATGGCATTTTGCTATCTCAGGGATATGGCTGAGAGAAAACACTGTGAAGTTTGTTTTGCTTTTCTTATTCTTTTTTGATTGATTTGATTTTTTCGCTACAATTTATCAGTATTTATTAGACGAAAACTAAGTTCATTACAAAAATATACTTTTTGCAATTAAAAAATTGTATACTAGGATCATATCAAAAAGATTAGCATGTAAATAAATGCTTAGTAAAAGCACAAGTGGTTAATTTATGTGTAACGTGAACACAAATGAGGTATTTTGCAACAAAAGGATCATAACTGTTGATTGATATTTTCTAAAAGATCCTGTGATTGAGATTCATTTCCTCCAAGGAGGCTAGTTACGTGATAGTCAGTTACGTGATAATTCATTCCCACATATAACAAGATGCTGCCATTTGCTACAAACCGTAGCAAATGGCAGATCTGTTATATGTGGGAATGAATTTTTCTGTTAACACCATGCATAATCAACTCAAACTTTTGCATCCGGATCGGAACTGATTCTCAATAATATTTTTCCAAATAAAAAATGACATTAAACATCCTCGTTAAAATAAGTTCGCAGTTTTTTTCAGATTTTTTCCGATTTGGATGATGCTCTCCAGTATGTTATTTCTTGCTCAAAAAAATGATGCTTCGTATATAAGTGCATAAACTTATCATCATATATACATAAATCGTTTTTAATCATCAGCATGCTACTGAGAAAGGAGATATTAATGCTGTGATTCAATGTGTATGTTAGTGTTTACTTAAATTTTTTAAATTATAGTTTGATTTAAAAAATCCTAAAACGTGGTGATTTAAATATTTGTTATTCTCTTTCTTTAAATTTACTATTTCGCCTATCATTGTGGGCACAAAAGAAATGTCCCATATAACTTGTTTAACTTTTGCAATATTACATCTTCTTAAATTTTTATTGACACTACTAAATCTAAAAATAGCACGTAATAAAATATAAAGAGCTTTGGTTATTTCAATCCCAAAAAAAGCTAGTATAAATGCGTTTCTTTTCATAAGAATTAAAAACAAAAACAATTTTTTTCAAAACTATATTTAAGAAGGGTTATGACTACGAATTGATTGTCTCCAGGGAAGGATATAGATAAAATCCAGAGAGCAAAATAGACGGAATATAAAGTTGACGCATAGTGTGTACTTCTTAATTGTGTTAAGAATTTATGAGGGTTACATTTGATCAGTAATAATAATCATATTGTACGTGCCTTAGAAGAAAAATAACTGTTGCAAGTCGTTTTGAGTACTTGTATTTTTCTTTTTGTTTTCAGTTTCAATGATTTTGAAATAAAGAAATAAATTTTCATTATTGCGAATGTTATATTAAATATGTTACAATAATATGCATGATAACGATATAATTTCTCAAAAGTGTTCCTTTCTCATTTTCATTCTTGTCCAAATTGATATTTGTCATTAATGATGATTATATTAGTGATAATGATTATGATTTCATTAACAGGAAAATGAAAATGTATGTCTCATTTTCCTATATTTTAATACCATTTCTGTTTTATTCCCATTCTTTGATTTTTACTTCCTTTTTTAGTAATTTTCTTTTGTGTTTTCAATTCCTTACTATATTTTATCATATGCAGAATTACTTTTACAGCATTTCTGTATTTTTTTAAAAACACTTACCCGAAAAAGAATGAAAAAGTTTTATAGTTTATTAATCGTTTTCTAAATTCGGAAAAAATTTTTTACTTTTATTTTTTCCGGAAAAATTTTATGTGAACGTAACAGAGAACATTCAGGAACACTTGACAGGAAGAAGTCTAGAAAAGGTTGCAAAAGCATTGTTTTTTAATCTTTTCTATCCCTATTGAATGATGATTGTATTAATGATTTGCTTGATATTGATGCAATAATTGTTATACTGATATATTGAATATATGTATATGATATAATGTGATGTTATTATAACTTATTATTTGTGTACAGAATTGCTTACTATCTTTTGGTACGCAAAGAGAAATTTTGAATTTTAAATTTGAAATTTTAACATTTTATCTTTTTTTTGTAACTTTCGAAATCAATTATTCATTTCTCTTTCGTAGATGAGAAATGCTTTTGTTTTTGGCAAAGAAAAAAAGAAAAGAAAATGTTGAAATTTTTAAAAAATTAAAAACTTTAAATTAGCTAGTTTTCCAAAAACATATGAAATATTATTTAGGCCTAAAAAAAGATTGCTAAAGTTTGATATTTTGTTAATTTGTGTATTATTCTTTCATTCTATTTCGTTTCCCGTTGTTATATTTAATATAAGAAAAGATAAGGGAAATTAATGGTGCTCAGAAATAAAATGTTTTTTTTTCATTCATTACAGTGTAATTTCAATGTTTTCGGATACTATCAAATTATTCTCATTCTTCAATATGGAAGTTTTTAATAAGACATACTCATAATAAATAATCCGTAATAAATGATCAATAAATGATCATTACTAATAATCACTACTAATAATATCATTGCGAACTTTTCTATGCCTCTGAAAAATCACGAAAGTTACACGTATAATATTCATACGTGAGTTATCTCACGTATAGACGTTAGCTGTAAATTGAAATGGCGAACGTATTTTTCTTGCTTAAATTAGCGCTAATTTTTTTATTTTAAAAAGTAGAATCATTTAATTTTTCTTTTCACGGATTTCAAAATTTTAGAAGACATGTTTTTTAATTTTTTCATATTTGAAAAAAATATTCCTGAAAATTATGACGGGAATTGTTCGCATTAATTAGAATTGTTTGCATTAATTAGCATTAGTTAGAATTGTTCTCATTAATTTAGAATTATTCGCATTAATTAGTGCTTAAGATGAATAAGCCCAAATTATCATCATTCCATACGACAGGTAACATTTGTATTTTGACATGTTTCAACTCACACATATTATCTAATTCTTTATTTTATAATTAATTAATAAACCCAAATTTTATTATTTTATAAATAATTAGGCTTAATTTAATTTAATGAAGTCTTTCTAATAGTAAAAACTATTGATGAATGATAAAACATTGATTAAAAGCTTCATTAAAAAAAAATTAAAGAAAAGATGCCATAGTTTGTTTGAATGCAAAAAGATTGGATCAATGAATATTTCCAATTTATCATTGTTTTACCTTTATTAGAAGGTAGACCAATAATTACAATGAATCATCTTTGTGATACGTTATGTAGCACATCTTCATAAATAAAATTTAACATCATCCTTTTATCAACTTGCAACTGTTGCTAGTGAATTTGAAACGAAATTGTTGTATTGGTCTAACAGTTGTAGCAGAACTTATTTCTGTTCAGTCCATCCATCCATCCGTTCTTCTCAATTAATTTACAGTTAAATATGCTTAAACGAATCAATTGTATAAGATATATAATTTGTGATAACCAATTATTACGCTATCATTTGAATCTATTCCGTACATTAACACAGGAAATGATAGATGGAAGTTACGACAAGTATTCATTCCAACAACGGCAATGTTTTTCGAAACGTGTAGCAGATATTAAACCAAGCGTTTGGTATGCTATTCTTTTTCTTTTGATCACCTTTTTTTTTTTGTATTATTTATAATTATTATTGTTTATATAATATTATTATTATTTATATTATTATAATGTTTATATAACAATGTAATTTAATTTGGTTTTTTTCAAGTTAAATGAACTTACATATATATATTTTGCATTTTGTAGGGTTGAATTTACAAGTTTAGCTACGGAATGCAAAGCAGTTAATATCGGACAGGTGAATGACTATTTGATGAATTAATTCATAGCTTCAAATCTTTAATTTTCTTTAATTGCATATGCATGTTTTCAACTTAATGCCATCTCTATATCTCTTTCGCTTTCTAGGATAGCATAAAGATAAATTCAAATCCTGTTATTGTTGTAGGGTTTTCCGGATGCTCCTGTGCCAGGATTTGTAGCTGGGATGTTGGAAGATGTTGCCAAGCATCCTGAAAGGACTGACTGGCATCAGTATAGTCGTGGTTTCGGTCATCCAAGGCTAGTAAGTTTTTTCTTTTTTTAATCAGCTCGGCGTTGTTTTTTTGATTTTCTTTTTTTGTTGCTTTTTTGGCTATTTTTCCAGACGAATGCTTTGGCAAAACTTTACTCAAACACACTGGGTGTAAATGTTGATGCACAACAAAATGTTTTAGTAACGGTTGGAGCATATCTTTCGCTCTATTATTCATTCATGGGTTGGCTAAATAATGGCGATGAAGTAATCGGTTTGTGCTTTCATTCATTAGTAAAGAATATGTAGTATTAATCCATTATTAACCTTTGTTTCATATTATTTCATAGATTTATGCATTCAAGCAGATTGAAAAAAAAAAACAGTTCAGAGGTAAAATAGTGATATAAGTAACTTATATTGCAGATCTATAATTGAAAATGACTGGTTGTTTAGCAGAGTGTAATTTTTTTGTTGTTGTTAATTTTGCTGTATTTTCAGTGCTTGATCCAGCATTTGATTGCTACGTTCCACAAATTCGTATGGCAGGTGGTGTACCCATACCAGTTGTGCTCAGTTTGCCATCGGAACCTCGGAGTAGCAAAGATTACACAGTAAATGTGGAAGCAATTGAAGAAAAAATCAGCAAGCGGACGAAAATGATTGTCCTCAATAATCCACACAATCCGACAGGAAAATTATTCACACAGTATATTGTTTTTGTTCTTCAACTTTTTTGCAGTAATTTTTGAAAATTTGCATGCGAATTATGCGTTTTCTTGAACATCAGTTTTTGATTTCTTTTCTTACTAATTCAACTAAAAATTAATCGACATATTGCATTACTAACTGGAAATTGTTGTGAAATTTCTTCCTCAACTTGTATAACTTCCATTATTTTTTAGTAAGACTTTTCTGTTTATTATCTTTATTTTCTTAAGCATAAAAACAGAATTACCATCTGATATTTTTTATTGTTCTCCTAGTTTTTGTGGATATCCGTATAGAAACTTGCTGGGTTAACTTGGGCACTTTCTGCATTAGCATATAAATGAAGGATTAGTTGCTTAAGTTATTTCTGTCAGATCTATTGAAGAAGTAATTGATAGGCAAATAGCAAGGTATTTTCTAAGTGTTAAAATAAAAACAAATTGAATTCAATAAAAGTTGCGGCAAAATTTTTAAAATATTAAATTCTGCAGAGAAGAGTTGGAAAAGATAACTGACATTGTTATCCGTCATAATTTATTGGTAGTAGCTGATGAAGTTTATGAATGGCATGTATATGGTTACAACAGAATGATTCGTTTTGGTTAGTGTAAATATTATCTTATATAACGGTATTGTTATATTTTCTTATATAATGCATGGTTTGAACAAGACTTTATTGAAGTGAAAAAGATTGAAAGTAACAGTTGCTGTTTTAACGATAGTTATTTTTCTAGCCAGTTTACCCGGTATGTATGAGCGAACGCTAACTATCGGTAGTGCTGGAAAAGCATTTAGTATAACAGGATGGAAATTGGGTTGGTCAATTGCACCAGCTGAACTTCTCGAACCCTTAAGACGAATCCATCAAAACTGTGTCTTCACATGTCCTACACCAATCCAGGTATATTTTTCGACATTTTAATCGAATGCGACTTTAATGCAGTCAAGTTCTTAAGTGATTTTTTTTAGTGCCAATACTTATAATATTGCATTCATCAATGGTATCATCGCTTGATGAAAATTAATATAAAATAATATTTGAAGGCTCATTTAGCTTATCGCATTCTTTTATACATCTAACATTTTATTGCATCCTTTTGTATATCCTAGGATGTTGGAAAGTTTTTTATCTTCGCTAAAGGGTGCAACATACTACTTTTTAAGAGACGAAAGTCACATTAATCTGTCTGACACGTATTGCTCTAAAGGGAAAGTATTTACCAGCATGTTCTTGGTTAAACGTTTTAACTCTTTAAAAACAAAGTTAGCGCTATAATAACTGTAATAACTACACAATCAACGGTTTTGCAGCAAGCGGTTGCTGAGGCATTCGAGAAAGAGCTAGATATAATAAAAACTAATCCAACAGAAAGCTATCTCAAGAAGGGAATTACGTCTGAGCTGATTCAACAAAGAGATCGAATGGCATCAATACTACGCTCTGCAGGAATGAAACCTATTATTCCCGATTCCGGTTACTTCATGGTTGCTGATTTTTCAAAATTAGATGAGTCTCTATTCTTTTAGAATTCGGAATATTTCTTGATCTTAAGGCAGAAACATTTTGCTTATTATTTCAGTATTTTTTAGTTAAGTAATACTGAGCCATTGAAGAGTAACTGTTAGTTATTTTTTGCTACATTCTTATTAACATAAGACTAATTCTTAAATGCCATTCTCAATGCCTCATTTTTAGATGGTCCATTCAAAGCAGCTGATGGAAGCAATGATCCACTGGACTTCCGCTTTGTGCGATGGATGTGTCGTGAGAAGGTTTTTTATTGTTTATTTTTTCTTCCACAGTAAAAAGATTTCTAGGTATTAGATGATTTCTGGGTATTTATTTAATATAACACAAATTTTAGAAGCTTGCAATGATACCAAATTCAGCTTTTTATACTGGTCCCAATAAACAAGATAAAGATCGTTTCGTTCGTGTTTGCTTCTTCAAGGTGATAGTTTTTTCACTCTTGTTAATTCTCTTTGAACCGTTTAAAAATAAGAGTTCTATGGAAGTTGTAGATGATGGAATGTTGGATGTTTCTTTGCTGAAGCATACAATTATTAAGATTTTTAACTCATTAACGTTAAAATCTACGCTATGTAACTTGCATGAGATAGTGTAGTTTTTCGTATTCAAAGGACTTTCATAATTTTTTGAACATGATGTTTTACTCATATATATTCAATAGTAATTCTCTGAAATCGAACTTAATGACTTAAACTACATATGCACCATTTTCCATAAAATGATCTGCATATTGAAGATGAGCAAAATTGTAGTCAATGATGAATTAAACGGAATAGTTTGGCAGTTAACATTTCTTTACTACAGTTATCAATATTACTGACCACTGATTGATTGAATTACTGCTGATAATAGTTGTAATAATTGTTATCCTAAGAGAAAGAACATCATAATGCATTTTTGAACATTTTAGTATAAAGTTATCGTATTTTCAGTCAGATAAGATATTGGATGCTGCTGAATCGATACTGAAATCATTTCGAATGACTAAGCAATAGTGATACAGTATATCTCTTGTGATCATTTTTGCATCTTGCTACATCCCGAAAACTTTTGCCGATTTATTGAAATTAAAATTGATCACATTATATTTTTTATTCTCATGTTAGTTCCTTCACTTTCTTTGAAACTTTGTCAATTAATTTTGTTCGCTTATAAAATTATTTTATCACCGGATCGATATATCTAACTCGGTCATGATTTTGAAACTTCCACGGATACATCAACTTCTTTACAATATGCTCAACAGTTTCATGGCTGTATGTAATACAAATCGATCCCTGAATTATAATCTGTAGCATCGGGTTCTAGGAATGGAAAGGATGACAGCAATTGCAATAAGGGTAGATATTCGGATAGTTACAAAATAATTTTAGGAATTCAGCCTAAGATTAAAGGAAAAAGATTTTGGCAAGTTTATTCTGTTCCGTTTTCAGCATGATGTGGTGGTGATTGTTGTACATGTTTGAGGTGATGCTGAGATTGTAAGGAAGTTTTAGTATAATATATGAAATTGTCCTACATGAAGAATTTTTTACGAATTTTAGGTTCAGAAACGGAAGGAATATTTCCGATTTAAACAGCTTTTAAATGTCTTTTAAGAAAAATAAAATCAGATTTCCTTTTTTCTTACAATTTAGCGAAGTACGTTTGAACGAATTTTTTTTTCTTGGTCAATTTGAAGGGGATGGTCGAAAATACAACAGAAACAGATTTGAAAACGTTTAAAGATTTTTTAACACAATATAATGTCGTTGCGGAGCAGTGCTTTACATCCTGCATAACCGATTTTACCACAAGGTAAGCTTTCGTTCAGATTTATTAAATAATGTTTTGACAAGAAATGTAAATCTCCCTTTAGTTTTATTACCTAGGAAAAGTTTTGAAAAAATCTAAGCTTCTTTTTAGATTTCTTGAGAAGGAACTGAGAATATTTTCGCGCAAATTTTTATATCAAGTTATAGTTATTTGCTTCGACATTTTGTTTTTTACCTCTTCTTCCTCCGTTAAAGTTTTGTTTGCTTCAAATACTGAAAAGACTTCGCTCCTAAAATAGATAGAAAGAACATTTGAATTTAGATGTGATGTTGTCAATGATTATATAAATAACTTTAAAGTTGGGTAAGATTTATGGGTTTGACATTTTTCCACGGTTATCACGCAATGTGTTTGAAGACACTTTAAATAACAAAGAAGAAGATGAAGTAGTAGGAAATTTCCATCTTTCCCATTCATAAGTTTCATTCAACCTCACTTTTTTTCTCAATGAAAAAAACTCCTCTTTATTTCTCTTCAGAAAGTTAAAATATTCAATGAATAGGAAAAGGTGAAAATTTTTATTTTACCATTAACTTGTGACATTTCGAATGGCTTTTCATTTATGTAAATTTTTAAGCTTTTTTCTCTGGCAAAATGTATTTTTTGACCAACGATATTAGGATTAATTTGTATATGTATATTCCAGGACAGTAAGTAACTCCGAGGAACAGTGTTGTTCGAATTGTCTTGATAAATTTCTGAAAATGACTCAGAGGATGTCGTTAAGATTTCAGGAACATCAATTGATTCAGAGTGAAGCTCAAGGACCTACAGGATTGAAATAGTTGAAAATTATTTTTCGTATTTTATATATTTCTTTTCAATGTATTATTTTACCTTAATCATTTAAGTTATACATTGCAGTATAACTTGCTACATTGGACACCCAAATGAAGTTATATGTTAGCTATTATTTGTTGTCACTTTATTATAATAGCTTTTATTTTTTGTCAAAAGTTTTTCAATGACGAAACAATAAGGTGCTATTTTCTAAATAATTTTCATTCATGATAATAAGAAAAACTAAAATCGATCATTTTTCTTTTCAATTTTTTCTTTGTTAAAAAAACTTTCACAATTGTTTGTCAATTTGAAAATGAATATACTTTTGCGATAATTGAAATTATTGTTTTTATAAAATTTTGTTTCTTTTCTTGTCTACTAAAAATTTCCCTTTTCATTAATAGCAATTTGCCTCAAGCATCATATATGACTGGCTTCACGCAGTGTTTTCAACAATCATTTTGAATGAATTCAAAGAAATTTCTTTTTCTTATTTTAATTTCAGGAATTTAATTTATAGCATTATTTTGCACTTTTGTTATAATTCTTTTTTCATTTCATTTAATTTCATCTCAAATGTCTTTTGTTTATTATTGAATTTTTTTTTTTTGAAATTGTTTTAAAAGAAAAATTAATTAAAATTCCGAAATATTAAAATTGGTTGCAAATGAACAAATTAGGTATTTTTCGATTAATTGGCTGGCTAATAATATAACAATTTTACGTGGCACTTTAGTATACGTCTATGAATGCAATTATGAGATTATGATATATTGCATTTGTTTTCATGTTTATAAATACAGATTTGTATTTAAGTTTAAAATTGGGAATGAAGCTTTTCATGTTTATAATACAGATTTGATATAAGTTTAAATTTAGGAATGAAGCTTTTCATGTTTATAATACAGGTTTGTATTTAAGTTTAAATTTAAGAATGAAATTAAGATTATTTAAGGTGTAACATTTGAATTCAATTTTGATTGCATGATTTAGGAGGATGAACGAAAAATTTTAGTGAATAGATAACGGAAATGTAAAGGATCCAGGAATTACAATTCATTCGCATTATTGCTACGATATAGAATTGTTGAAAAAGTTGAAAATTTGCTTCATTCTTGCAAAATAAGGTTCTCAATAATTGCAATGAAAAGTACAAATCATTGATTCGTAAATCTTTCAAATTCAAAATTTCACAATTAAAAATAAAGAAGTTAAAATTTCGTGTGAAAAAAATAAAAATAAAAATTTGTTGAAAATATTTTCCTGCAACAGATTTTACTGACAAATGGACGAATAGAAGTTTTTTTAGAAGATATATATATATATATTATTATTTTTTTGATCAATTTAAAAATCTGAAATATTACTATTCATTGATAAGATATTTATACAATGATATATTATAATTATTAGTTAAATTTAGGAAAATGAATTTTTGAAATTCGATTTGTCATTAAAATGATGACAATGAAGAATGGATTATGATAATTATTATCACTAATTATCTTTTTTGCTTCATTCATACTTAAATTTTTTTATTTTAATATTTATTATTGGAATTTTAAAATATGTTACCTGTCTTCGGTTGATCAAAAAATTCTGAATTAATTAATTAATTAGCTAATGGTTACGTAGCGTTTTTCTTTTCTAAACAAAAAGATGCATTCCATTGAATTCAAATTTATGTATAAAATTTGAGAAGTGAATTTTGGGATTTTGGTTTTTCATTAAAACAATAATAATACAGGATGAATTATGATAATTATTATTACTAATTAAGTATTAATTAATAGAATTTGAAACAAAAAGCTCTTGAAAATAATAACAACAACAATGAGAAATGAATTATTATTATTATTATTATTATTACTATTATTATTATTATGACTACTAATGAAGTATTAATTAATATTTAATTAATAAAATTTGAAATAAAAACTTTTGAAAATATTTGAAAATGATATTAATTAATAGAATTTGAAACAAAAAATTTTTAAAAATAATAACAACAGCAATGAGGAATGAATTATTATTATTATTACTAATGAAGTATTAATTAATATTTAATTAATAAAATTTGAAATAAAAATATTTGAAAATGATATTAATTAATAGAATTTGAAACAAAAAAAAAACTTCTTAAAGTATTTTTCAAAATATTGCAAAATATATTTTAGCTATTGGCTTATTTAAACTAAAACGAATACGACTGTTTAGTACAAGAACGAAAATTTCAAACAAAAATTTAAAACAAAAAAAAACATCTTACCAGCTTTTCTTCTCTTTTATCTCTTCCTCTCTCTCTCTCTCTCTCTCTCTTTCATCCTAAAATTTATTTGGTTGGTTAAAAAAAATAAAACAATGAATGAAAAAAAGGAACAATAACTTTTTGTGAAATAAATTAAGGCAAGAAAATAAATATTTTTGGAATGATTTAACAACAAAATCATTTTTAAACCAACCATTCGTCTAATTAACTCTTACCTATATAATATTTCCCTCTCTCTCTTTCAATCTCTTCCCCTCTTTCTCTCTCTCTCTCTCTCTCTGTCAGTGAACTAGAAGGGGAAAAAATAGCAAATAAATTTGATGGATTTTAGAAAGCTGGCTTGTTTTCTTTTTCTTTTCCGAATAATTTTATTTTTCTTTAATGTCTTTGTTTTTTTCCCAGCTGTCAGAGTGTTTCGTTTCGTTGTTTTTCGTCTTTTAATTTTTCACTCTCATTTTTCATTCCTTTTTTTGATTTGAAATTTAAATTAGGAAATTTTAATATTAAATAGGATAAAGAGATAGAATAATGAAATAAATGATTTGATATGAAAATTCTTTCTCTCTCTCTCTCTCTCTCTCATTTTCCCTCCAATTTAAATAAAAATTTAAATTATTTTACTTTTTGATATGAAAGTTCTCTCTCTCTCTCTCTCTCATTTTCCCTCCAATTTAAATAAAAATTTAAATTATTTTACTTTTTGATATGAAAGTTCTCTCTCTCTCTCTCTCTCTCTCTCATTTTCCTTCCAATTTATTAAATTTAAATTTGTGATAAATAGTTTGATATGAAAGTTTTTCTCTCTCTCTCTTCCTCTCTCTCTCTCTTACTTCTCCTCCAATTTATTAAATTCAAATTATTGTTTCCCTCCAATTTATTAAATTTAAATTTTTGATAAAAAATTATTTTGATCATTGTTTCTTACTTTTTGATATGAAAGTTCTTTCTCTCTCTCTCCCTCTCTTTCTCTCTCTTTCTCTCTCATTTTCCCTCCAATTTGTTAAATTTAAATTTTTGATAAAATAAGAAATTTATTTTGATCATTATAAGAGTAAGATGGGTGAGAGTTAGAGAATGAGAGAGAGGGGGAGAGAAAAAGAGAAGAGAGTGAAAAAAAACGAGAATACAGAAAGGAAATAGTAATATCAAATAAGTATGTTAGTATCAAATGATATGAAAATTATTTCAAGATTTAAATTTTATTATAGAAAGACAAAGGGAGAGAAAGAAGGAGAGGGTTAGAGAAACAGGGAGAGAGAAAGAGAGAGAAAAAGAAAAAAAATGAATGAATAAAAAAGGAAACCAAAAATTTAGCACAAATTTTGATACTAATACTAGTAGTATATGGCATGAAAATTATTTAAAAATTAAAATTTTAATTATTAAGAGAGTGAGAGAGCGAGAGGGAGAGAGATTAAGAGAGTTAAAAGAGGACATGAAAAGAGTGAGAAGAAAAAATTTTTTTCGAATATTATAAACTTTTAGTATATGATATAAATTATTTAAAAATTTAATTTTTGATAACATGATATTAACAGGTTTAAACAAAAACGAAAGAGAGGTAAAGAGAGAGAGAGAGAGAGAGAGAGAGGGAAAAAAGTGACAAATAGGTAAAGAAATTTTAAAAAAAATGAAAAAGAAACGAAGAATAGGATAAAAAGTAAAGATTAATGAGATAGGATGATTAGTTAAGCGAAAACAAAAATTTTACTCATTCATTAATGCAACATTCTCATCCCTTTCATCCTTTTCTCATGTACACACACACACACACACACACACACACACACACACACACACACACACACACACACACACATGTAAACAATAGTTAAAAATTTTTAAAAATAAATTTATTAATCGTTCTTCAAATCAATTTCTATTATAAACAAAAACGAAGAAGAAGAAATCATCATTGATAATATCAGTTTCGATTCATTTATTTGTTTACTTCGTCTTTCTTTTGATCTTTTATCATTCTCTAAAATTTTCTATCATTTTATTATCGTAGAAGCCATCTTATTATTTTATAGTATCTTTTTCGTTTTTGTAAAATATAAAATAAAAAAAAGAATGAAGAACAAAGAAGTAAAATTTTTAGCTTTCTTTCAAACAAAACTGTACCAAAAATTATTTTCCTGTATTATTTTATTCAATATTAAATAATAGTAATTGTAATAATGCATCAATTACCATTATTATTATTACCATCATCACCATCATCACCACCACTATCATCATCATCATCATCATCACCATCATCACTATTACCACCACCACCACCACCGCCACTATCATCACCACCACCATCATTATCACCACCATTATCACCACCACTGATATCACCATCATTATCGTTATTACAAGAACCATTAGAGCAATCACAATTACCACAATTGCAATCACAATCATCATCACTACTGTTATCATCATCATTATTATCATCAGCAGAATCACGATCACAAATGCATTCACAATCACAATCACAATCACAATCACGACCACGATCACGATCACGATCATCAGCTAAACGATTGAAAGTAAAAAAGCAATATCATACGAAAGATGCGGAAAATCGCTTGATGCAAGTAAGAAATTTCCACTATTCTTACCTATTTTAATTTAATTAGATTCTGTTATTTTTTTTTCCCTTTTAAAATAATTAATTAATTTAAAATTATTCTCTCTTTCTCTCTCTTTCTCTTTCTCTTTCTTTTTGCATATGTTGTATGATAAAAAAATTTTTCAATGAAATAAATTCTTTTCCTTTTTTTTTCTAAAATTAAATAACACATTTTAGGACAATTGTTAATATATATACTATAAAATACAATCCATTCATTTTCAAAAAACATTTAAATGAAATGATCGATAAATCTTCTGAAATATTTGAATTATTTTTCCCCTTATATTTATTTATTAATTTTTTTTAATTTAATAAATATTTCTTTCAAAAATAATAATTTGAATTTCAAAGGATTCTTCCTTTCCTTTCTTTTTTGTTGTTGTTTGTTGAAAAAATTAAATTAATATATTTATTCAATTAATTCTTTTAATAAGTAAAAAAAATTTAATTGCTATCCTTAAATTTATTTCATTTATCATTTTAACCTGTTCAATAAACAATCAACAACAACAACAACAACAACAACAACAACAAGAAAAAAATTATGAAAAAATAAAATTACAACACATTTATTTTAGCCTAAAAAATTATTCTCAAGGGGCCGCATTTTATTTTTCATTCATTCATTTCTATCAATTCAGGAAATTTTCAATGAAAAACAATCATTATTTCGAATGACTGGATGAGATATTACTTTTACATTTATTGCATCATTATTTGGCTGTCATTTAAGTTCAATTGTTATTTCAAAAATATTTAACTTTTTTAAAAATTGGAAAGAAAATTTAAAAGAAAATGATGGATGTAAACAAAAAATTTTAATTTGAAATAAAAATTTTTTAGTTTTAGAATTTTTTCAAAATATATCACATTTTGCTATATATCATATATATATATATATATCATATCATATCATCGTTATATCATAGTTTATATATTATAGTTTTTTGTTATACTGACAGTTTATATATCATAGTTTTGTAGTAATTTATCATAGTAATATATCATGATTTTTTGTTATGTCATAATTTATATATCATAATTTCACAGTAATATATCATAGTATTATATCATAGTTTTTATATTAAAGTTTTTAAAACTAAAACAAAAATTTTTTTTCTTCAAATTAAAGTTTTTTTGTTTTTTGTGGAAATCAAATTTTTTTTGTGTAATTAATTAGAATTTAGCAACAAAAAAAAAAATGCTTACACATTTGACTAAAATTTTTTGTGTTAATTTCAGTATTATAATTTTAGTATTATTATCCATTCCAATTATAATTTTAGTATTATTATCCATTCCAATTTTATAATAATTATATTTGATCCGTTTGACATTTATCAATTTAATCAATAATTATTTTATACTATTTCAGTTTAACCTTCAGTATTATTATCCATTCCAAATTTATAATAATTATATTGGGTGCATTTGACATTTCCAATTTAATCAACAATTATTTTATGCTATTTTAGTTCAATCCATAATTTGTTATATTTTTTTTTTGAAAAAAATATTCGCAAAAAATTAATTGTAATTTGTCTTTCATAATTTAGCTAAGGTTTTTTTTTTGATAATATATATAATTAGAGTTACTAATAGTTATGAAAAATTCTAAAATGTATCATAATAATTGACTCTTTTGCATCCTTTTCGCTGTAATTTGCACTAACTAGTTAAACATAATTTCAGTTTAATAGTAAAGTAAAGCTATATCATTTATTATCATTCATTTCGAAATTTTGAATGATAAATCAAAATTTGTTTAATATACGATAGATATTGCTAATGTATCAATTTTCATCAGGCAAACTGAGAAGTTTCGAATTTTTAAATTAGTTTAAAATTCTTTTAATTTTAATTAACCGAGTTTTCTCTAATTTCTGATAAACTTATGGCTTAATTTTTTATTCTATTGATAAGCTCCTTTCTATATCCTGATAGAATTCAAATATTACGCCTTAGTATTGTTTGAAAATATATATATATATATATATATATATAGAGAAGTCATAAATAGTATTCGATCATTAACGGATAAAGCAAAATTAGTCTGATTGAAAATTGGAATAAAAGATAAAAGAAGGACAAAGTGCCTACTAATATATGCATATGCTATGCTGGTGATACATTTTCCGGCTTAGTTCAGGATGTGATTGAAAAGATACCGATTCGAGCACGATCTCAAAGTTGGCTTATTCGAACTCGTCGTTTACTCGATACCAAGGTGTGTTAGATGTTTTTCTAATATCTCTTAGGTGAGAAAAAATTCTCATCTACTTAATTAAAATTCCGAAAGTGAAAAATTTGAATATTTGTGAACCACATAAATTATATGCAATTTATTAATCAATAAAAGAAGTTATTAGTGTAATTTCATGATTTCCAATTATACACGAAGAAGTATATATGTATTAAATACTTGTAAAGCACATAAATTATATATAATTTATTAATCGATAAAAAAAGTTAGTGTAATTTCATAATTTCCAATTATACATGAAAAAGTGTACATGTATTAAATTGGTGGAAAAGCAACTGCAATTTTTGCACCGATATTGGCATGCAACATAACGATAACAATTCTGCGTATATTCGGAATTTCAACAAAGTTGAAAAGGTGAAGAATCTCCACAAGTGGACAATCCGTAAACTGACTGACAAACAAGGAGTTAAAAGTTTTACGTGTCCTTGCCTATTAGTCATGCAGCAATATTGAATCATTTTTTTTGATAAGATTATTTCGTCCGAAAATATCGCAACAACAATGTTGATAATCATCTTGATTAATGAGCGAAGAAACTGAAAAGTGCTTTCGAAAAATGAAATTGTAAAACGATGAAATCATTGATCACTGTTTACATCATTTCAAGTTTCTGAATCATAAAACGTAAATTATCACATCTGAGAAGTCTAGAGAGCAAAGTCGATAAGATGCAAAATTCATTGTCTTCAATTAATAAAAAGAACTGTTGTTCAGCTTTATTACAACAACAACGTCTAAACAAACGTCGGACAGTAAGCGACTTTTAAAGTTGAACGAATTGATATATCCTAATTATGTCATATCCGCCGCATTAAACTTACTTATCAATTACTTCCTAAAATTGTCAGCTCTAATTATAACAAGTCTATCAAAAAATGCCTTCACAATTAGCAGCAAACAAAAAATACTTTTAGCGAACAAAATTGAAAAAAAATTCTTATAGTATAAATCACTATGCTGAAACTATAAACAATACTTATTTCTTACTGTAAACAGTTACTAATTCTTATCATAGTTACCTTATAGTTATCATAGTTACTCATATATATCATAGTTACATAATTACCTTATCAGAGTTGCTAATTTTGATTATAATTTATATTTACTAATTTAGTTATTAATTAGTTACTAATTTTCATCAATAAAAATATTTTAAGCTTAAGATGGATTAATTTAAAATTCGTATTTCAAAAGTGTAATTACTTCTGCACCAATTTAATATATAATATACATATATATACAAGCTGCAATAATGCTCGATCGTCAAATATCAAAGCGATTTAAAAAATATTAAATCGACAGGCTATAACAGTTCTTCCGGTTGTACCGGTTGTACCGGTTGCATCATTTTTATTTCATTAATTGATATCTTAAAATGGTTCCTTTCCATTGAAGACAATGATAATTCATATTATAATGCATTTTTTTTAAATGCAATAATTTCAGGAGAAAGCGCCTTTTATATCAACATGCTTTTATATACTATCAGTGATGCTTATAGTAATCACTTTCCCATTTTGTTTACCATTTTGTTTTAAAATAATCAGGTTTGTTTATCATTTCCAATAACTTATCAATACAAATTTACTAAGCTCATTAATCAAATTATTAATTTTCATCACTAAAATTAATGACAGCCTCAAAATGACTTTTATTTTTTGTTTAAACAATTATTTATTATCAATTTTAATTGATGAAAAATGAGAAGAATTTTTAAATTTTTATCAAATTAATATTTTCAAAAAATTCTTTTATAATATATTCTTTTGTTTCAATTTTTTTAATTGTCAAATTTTTAATTTTCATTTAATTAAACATTTATTTAATTACAGAGAATATGAACGAGCGGTGATTTTAAGACTTGGCCGTCTTGTTAGTGGTACTAAAGGACCGGGATTATTTTTTGTCATGCCTTGCATTGATAAATGTCATATTGTATGTATGAAATTATTTCATATTTGTTTTAATTTCATTTTATTATTTTATATATTTATTTAAAAATTTAATTTTACCTTAATTTTTGTAGAAAAATTTTTTTGTTCTAATAAATATCAATTTTTCAACAAAATTTACAAATTTCGACAAATAAAAATCTAATTAACTACAAATAAAAATTTAATTAGCAAATAAAAAAGTGAAAAAAATTTTCATTTTTATCAATAAAATAATTAATTTGATTAATTAATTAGACTTTTATTTGTTGTTTTATTTACTTTAATAATAAGTGTTAATTTTACAGGTTGATTTACGGGAATAAATATAAATTTTTCAACAAAATTTACAAATTTCGACAAATAAAAATCTAATTAACAACAAATAAAAATTTAATTAGCAAATAAAAAAGTGAAAAAATTTTCATTTTTATTGACAAAACAATTAATTTAATTAACTAGATTTTTATTTGTTGTTTTAGTTAAAAATTTAATTAGCAATACTACAATAATAAGTGTTAATTTTACAGGTAGATTTACGAGTTTTATCATTTGATATACCGCCACAGGAAATTCTTAGTAGGGATTCGGTAACGGTATCCGTCGAAGCAGTAATTTATATTCGGATCAATAATCCGGTAATATCAGTAACAAATGTTAACGATCCTCAATTTAGTACTAAACTTTTGGCGCAAACAACACTTCGTAATGTGCTTGGTACTCGAACACTTAGTGAAATGCTCAGTGAACGTGATAGTATTGCCAATGTTTGTTGTTATTTGTTTCTTTTTGCTAATTAATTTATTAAAAGAAAATAATTTCGAATTTTAATTTTAACATTAAATAATTCCATTTTATAATTAATTAATCAAATACCATTCATTTGTACACATAATAACTAAAACATTTTCTCTTTTTGCAATTTTTTGACAAATTTATTTTTTTCCTTTTTGTTTAATTTAAATTAATTTATTCTAACATTTATTAATTTCAGATTAAAAAAAAATTCAAAAATAATTTAAAAAAAATTTCCAATTAATTGCATTAATTAAATGAAACAACTGATTGAAACAAGCATTATTTGTAATTTGATTAATTGTAATTTGATTTAATTAGATACAATCTAAATTTAAATCATAGTTTTAGGTGATTGGAAAAGTTTTAGCTGAAGGTACAGAACCATGGGGTGTTCATGTACAACGAGTTGAAATTAAAGATATACGTTTACCATATCAATTAATGCGATCAATGGCTGCTGAAGCACGTGCAACTCGTGATGCTCGTTCACTTATCATACTTGCTGATGGTGAACGTCAAGCATCTTGGCTAGTTTTCTTCTTGGCTCTTTTTTTTTTCTTTTTGTTCTTTTTCAAATTAAATTTTTGCTCTCTCTTTTTAATTAAATTAATAAAACTTAAAAATTTTCATATCCAAAATAATAAATGATGTGTATATTTAATAAAAGCATATATATATATATATATATTTGATATAGATAAAGAAGAAATTTGATTAATTAGCAAAAATTTTAGGTCATTAGCTGAAGCAGCATCAACAATTGATTCGAGCAGTGTATCATTGCAACTTCGTTATTTGCAAACATTAACAAATGTTGCATCAGAACATAATTCAACAATTGTTATTCCAATACCTATGGAAATTGTAGAATATTTCGCAAAGAAATGGAATAAATTAACTGCTGATGATTCATAATTATTATTTTCTATTTTTGAAATTTCTTCAAATATTTTAATTTAATTATATAAAATATAATAAATTGTAATGTATCAAAAAATCAAGTTAAATTATTGATATCATTTTAAATTTAAGGAATTCAAAAAAAAAAGAATGAATTAAATCTGAAATAAATTTGGTAGTAAATTTATGGATTTGAATAATGAACGTTTGAACGATTGTTAAACTAACGAAATATAATTAACGAAATATATTTTCACTTGGTAATACCCATGTTGGAAGTTATTCTTTAGTTATGTGAGAAAGCATACGATATAAAACTATCCAGCGTTCGTGTATTCTGATAAAACCAAATTAATTCAATCACATACAGAAATATAGTTATAACGAAATATAATTATTTTTACTTGGTAATATCCATATAAGGAAGTTACTCTTTAGGTATGCAAGAAACCGTACGATATAAAACTACCCAGTATGCGTGTATCCTGATAAAACTAAATCAATTCATTTCTTAGAACTACGTAGGATTTTAGAAATACCATTTGGTTGATGTACCAAATAGTATGACAGGTTATGTTTCACTACAACCATTTAATGCACATTCTGCATTCATCAACACATGAAATATAGTTAACCAAATATAATTATCTTACACGAAATATAGTTAACGAAATATAATTAACACACACGAAATATAATTAACCAAATATAATTATCATATAATAAAAGGAATTTTTTTTTTTGATTGTTTCTTTCATTTGTATTCTTTCACGATTATTGTTTAAATTTCGTAATTGTTTTTTTGAAAACAATTTAAATTTTAGGATAATTTATGAAAATGTTGTTAATTAATTAATTAGGAGTATGTGATGTAATAATGCAATGCTAATTTTTGAATATTTATAAAATTTTAATATATAGAACAATGTAATATATTCAAAAAAATTTTCTACAACATGCTTTTTGTTTTTTAAAAATACAGTGCTATAATTATAACGAATATCAAAAAACAAAGAAGTTATATTTACAATTCAATAATTCAAATTATCGAAATATTACACGAATTCGAAACACTGAATTTAATCATCATTGTATTAAGTTTAATCATTCAAATTATCTTTCATTAATTAACACTGATTCAAAATTAATTATATTGATAATCTTGAAAGTGTTGTTAAATCGTTATCATCATTTACAAATTAATCATGTATATTAGCATTTTCTTTTGAAGTAATTATCAGTTCTCAATAATTTGATGATGTGAAATTAATCTTGATTTATTTCATAAAATTATTAGAGCAAATTTTAATAATTAGTCAGGTTCTTTGTTTACCTCTGTTTATATCATCTTTTTGCAATAAATTTTCTTTTCTGAAAATTTGAATGTTATCCGTTTTGCTATTATATTTTCGCAGTTAAATTAAAAACAAAATAGATCGATGACTTTTCTACAACAAAAATATGCATCATATTAACAAACATATGTTATTTAATTAAAAATACATACATATCTATTGATCAACTTGAAAATAATATGAAATGAATCTACCTGTCTACCTATTTGAAAATAATGTGAAATAGGCCTACTACTATCATTTCATCTATCTATCGGAAAATAATATAAAATGGATTTATCATTCTGAACATAATGTGAAACAGATCAATCTGTCTATTTATTTATCTGAAAATAATATGAATTAGGTCTATCTTCCTAAACATAATATGAGATGGATCAATCTATCTATTTATCTATCCTGAAAATAATGCCAAATAGATCAATCTATTTGAAAATAACATGAAATAGATAATAATCGATATATCTATTCCAATCTATCTATTCTAATCTATTTATCTATCTATACATACATCGCTAATAAATTATGAAAAAATAATGAAATGAAAAAATGATAATTATTTGATAATTAATAATGATAATAAAAAATGATAATTAAATTAATTACGAAAGATATAAAAATAATGTGAGTGAATTTATCATTTGAGCTGATGTTTTAGTGGCAAATTGCAATGATTTCTTCATCATTCCCCTCAAACAAATATTTCCCATTAATTATAAACTGAAATACTGATTCAATTGTTTTTCCTCTTAGCAAAATTAATTAGTCAAATTAAATTCATTATTGTTGCTTTGAAAATTTATCGATTAAATTCAGATAGCATTCAACAATTTTATAAAAAAATGAAAGAGACAAAAATACTGGAATTAATATAATAAATTATATTCGAATTGATTTGTCGCTTAAATTTTATTTCGCAATTATAGCCATTAAATTGCCTAAATTTTACTCCCATTTATTTTCCTAATTATTATTCAAAAATTTTCTAATTAATTAATTATTAATTTTACTAATTATTATTTAAATTCCTTTTTTCGTATAATACATATCAAGACAATAAGAGTTTTCTAATTTCTGCACTGAAATATATCAATAAACTTTAAATGATAAATCATCGTTCTTTCCAATAAATATAAATATTACTTAATTGCTAAATTCATTAAGGTATTTTGCATGAAAACAAAAGAAGAACAAAATTTGAAATTTCAATTAAAATGCAATCAATTAAAATTCACTTCAATATTTTCGTTAATTTCAAATTCCTTTTAATCATTTCAAAAAGATAAATTTTTTTTTTTTTGCTAAGCAAATTGGTTTTGTTTTAATAATTAATTTTTTAATAACTAATTTTATCATGTTTGAAAAAAAAAAGAAAACACCATTTCTAACAAATAATTTTGTCCTATTGAAAAAGCAACACACCTGTCTACAGATAACTAACATAATCATATTTGAAAGATCATCATTTCTAATAAATAATTTTGTCCTATTGAAAAAGCAACACACCTGTCTACAGATAACTAACATAATCATATTTGAAAGATCATCATTTCTAATAAATAATTTTGTCCTATTGAAAAATACAACACACCTGTCTACAGATAACTAATTTTGTCATATTTGAAAAAAAAAAAAAAAAACATCATTTCTAATAACTAAAATTGTCATATTTGAAGGAAAAACACCTGTCTCTAGAACACCTGTTCAAAAATGTTATATCATTTTGAATTCTAAAAACAAAAACGGAAAACAAAAAAATGTATGCTAAATTTTTTTCAACATTACAAATTAATGAAAATTCAAACATTATTATTTCGCTTCATTAAATTTCGTTGAATTCATAATTTGGAATTATTTCTTCTTTAATTTACAGCCGTAAATTTCAATATCATAAATGCAAGAATATCTATGCCATTTTCAATGATTCGTTAAAATATTCATGAATGAAATTAGAAAAGTGAATTTGAAAAATTAATTGAAAGATAATTTCAACTAATGCAAGTGAATATCAAACAAATTATGAATTGAAAAATTGAAGGGAAAGGGAAATTCGTAATTCAATTAATAAATATTAAATTCATTTAATTAATTACAAAAATAATTATATGCCATAAAAATTAGCAATCGAAATAATTTAAATTAAATTAAAATTTTTATTTATTTAAATAGTTCAACTAATTAAAAAAAAAAAACAATTATATGTCATAAAAATTATTAGTCGAAATAATTTAAATTAAATTAAAATTTTTATTTATTTAAACCATTTAATTAATTACAAAAACAATTATACGTCATAAAAATTAACAATCGAAATAATTTAAATTAAATTAAAATCTTCATTTATTTAAATTCGTTTAATTAATTACAAAAGCAATTATACGTCATAAAAATTAATAATCGAAATAATTTAAATTTAATTAATTCGATTATTAATTTAAATTCGTTTAATTAATTACAAAAGCAATTACATGCCATAAAAATTAATAATCGAAATAATTTAAATTAAACTAAAATTTTGATGTATTGATGGAAAAAAGAAAAAGTGGAAACAAACTGAAATGATTATTATCAGTTAATTTGTTATGAATGAAATATTTTATCAGATAAAACCGGAAATATTTCGTGATGATTCATAGCCATCATTATTATCATCAATTTCCATTGTTTTCAAATTAATTTCATCAATCGGTTCAATTTCATCAAATAATTTGTACTGTATTTCGTACCTGCCAATTTTTTCATTTAATACAACCATCGAGCGAAATCTGAATATTTCAATTAGATTTCTAGTTGGTTTTTAATTATCAGAACAGTTATCATTATATAACTTTCTTAATTATCACAATAGTTATCATTACCATTGAAATTTCTTAATTATCAGAAAAGTTGTCATTATATAAGTTTCTTAATTATCAGAATAGCAATCATTATCATAGAAATTTCTCAATTATCAGAACAGTAATTATCAATCATTCTATAGCAGTTATCATTATCATAGAAATTATGATTATTTCTTTAGTTCATTTTTAACTGTAAATTTAATTTAACTTTTCAAAGTTTTAATTATTATTCATTTAACAATGTCGGCATACTTTTATAATTTATTCAAAGCTACTAATTTAATTCATTGAAATTGTTAAGCTTAAATAAATTTCTTTATTGTTCACTTTTTTGATAGCTTCCATTTTTGTCACGTCTAAATACACGTATATCTCGTATTGCTTACCCTCTATTCAATGTCAATATGTCATTTCTGGTATTGAATTCATGAAACGTGAAGTTGAATGTATTAAACTACCAACCTGTATCCCCAGAGTATTTCATCCGGTAAAAATGAAGTTCGAGCTTGAAATGTCATACCAGTAGATTCAACAATTCCTTCAACAGTCATGATAAGCTCAAAATAAGCACTATGCATCTTATCAGGTGTCATTGCAAATAACGGACTTTGATCATCAATTAAATGCTTTACTGTTATTGGCCTAAAATATTTTACACATTAAAGACCTAAAATATTTCATGGATCAAAAAAAAATCAAAAAAATTTCTTACATCAAATTTTCAAATTCAGTATCATATTCATGATATATATATATATAAATAATATAGTTACATTTCAATAAGCAAATAGTTAATTATAAAATTCAAATAAATTTATAAGTTTTAATTTGATATTTTTTATCGTTAAAAAAATAACTCATATATAAAATTTTAGAAATTAAAAAACGAAAAACAGGTAAACAAGTTAGAATAAACAAATCTTATTTACCATAGAAGAAGTATTCGATCCCAACCAGCATCATAACCAACATTCATATCTTTAAAATCAGCTAATTCTCGTTCACCATTCTACGAAATAATTAATATTAGTATAAATTAAAGCATAAAACTTTATTTTAATTTTCTTTTTGTTTTAAAAATTTAATTTGAAATTTAAAAAGTCAATATATTTTTTATATAAATATTTTTGTTTACAAAAAAGAATCCTTTAAATAAAAAGAAATTTTAATATTTAATTTTGCTTTGATCATAAAAGAATAATATCTTTTGTTTCAATCAATAAATTCAATTAACTTTATTTATTTTTGAAGTTGCCATATATAATCGAACATGTGGCTCAGCGATATACAAATTATTTTGTATATCAGCAATTCGTATCATCAATACCGATCTCCTATCCGTATCAGCTATTGAATCTATTACTGCCACTTGAGAAAATCTCACTTCCTGAAAACGACAAAAAGGTGAAATATTTATTCATTCATTTTTTTTGCTAATTAATTATTAAGAATAAGAAAATATTAATTTCAAATAAAAAGAAAAATAGTAATTAAATTTCCAAATTATAACAATACAAATTATTTTCATTGTTTTAGAATTGATTATTCCATGTGTAAAATATTTTCATTCATGGATAATGAAATTTTGGAAAAAATAAGTAATCAATATTTCTAATATTATTTCAATAATATTCCATATAGGCTAGCCTAATCCTGGAAATAATTCATGAAATAAAATCATTTCTGATATTCGTGGAAATAATTCATGAAATAAAATCATTTCTGATATTTGTGGAAATCATGAAATAGAATCATTTCTGATAATTTTGTGAAATAATTTTGTAAAATAAATCATTTCTGATATTCATAGAAATGATTCATGAAGTAACAAAATTATTTCTGATATTCGTGGGAATAATTCATGAAATAAAATCATTTCTGATATTTCAAATACAATGGCAATTTCGATTAGTAATTCGTTGAAAAAATTATTTCTATACATATTTGCTCACTTTTTTTTTTGGATACGAATAATTAAATATAAATTAATTACAATCATAAATTTGAATTGAAATTAAAAAAAGAAAATTCCAACCTGTTTTCGCTTTTTTGGACGTAATAATTTGGCGATAACAATGCCACTTAACATTGTTTGCATGAAAAAGCCCACAATACATTGTAGTGATAAGATAAAAACAAGCGGTAGACATGCATCTGTCACGTATCTAAACAATTACTTAATTCTATCTTAGCCTATTTTTTATTAGCTCATTTTTTCCTTTATCATTTAATGATTTCAATTTTGCCATTTTAGTAAAGTTATATTAAGGGCAAAAGTTTAAATTAACTTATCTCAATTCTTCTTAGCCTACTTTTGTGTTAGGCCCAATTTTTTCCTTAATAATTTAATGATTCAATCTTGTCATTTTAGTAAAGTCATGTTAGTAGGGCAAAAAGTTTAAATTAACTTCCCTCAATCTTATATTAGCCTATTTTCTAGCAAGCTAATTTTTTCCTTAATCATTTAATAGTTTCAATTTGTCATTCTAGTAAAGTCATATTAGCAGGACAAAAAGTTTAAATTAACTTATTTCAATTTTATCTTAGCCTATTTTTCAGTAGGCTAATTTTTTCCTTAATAATTTCATAATTCAATTTGTCATTTTTGTAAAGTCACACTAGTAGGGCAAAAAAGTTTAAATTAATTTATCGGAAATTCAAATTTCATTAAATTGCAAAATCAGAATATTACAGATACTATATATCACTACTGTAATTTGATAATGAAAAAAAAATTTCAGTCGTAAATTTCTTATTTTTTTACCTTTTCCAAAACCTTGAAATTAAAAATAAAATAATTATGAATTTCATGCTATTTTTCCAATGGAGAATTATTTGCAAAATTATTTTCAACTTTTCATTTGAAAAATTAACTAACCGAAATCCATAACCAATTGTATGTTGTGTTTCCAAACTGAAATATTGAAATTTTAATTAATTAAAGTTTGCGTAAAAATTTTGAATGCAACTGAAGAAAAGATTTCGATGATCGATTACTCGTAAAAACAAAGAAAAAAGCACTAATAAAACTTTTTTCCAAAAACAAACAAATAGCGAGCAGAAGCCGAGGTCCTACTTTGTCGTAAATAAATTCAAAATAAACTTAAAGGTCAAAGAACAATCTTGTAGGCAGACGATGCATAATACTAAAATTATCTTAAGTCTCTTCTAAAAAAATATTGAAAGCAAAATAACTTTCTATCATTACCGCTTAAGTAAGAAATAATTTTCACGAATAATAATTATTAATTAGATATAGTTTGCACGTTTACATGTAAATTAATTGATTACATACCTGAACAGGAAGGCAGTCTTCAAATCGTATACGTTTGCAATACATTTCTCATTTTTCTGCCCTCTCTAGACGATAATTTAATTACAATTATTATTATCATTATTAATTATTTTATTATTATCATTGTTATCATTATTAATTGATTAATATTTCCTATCATTATCGTTATTTTTATCATTATTATCATATCAATATCATTATTAATTTTAATATTATTATCATTGTTAATAATTAATATTTGCTATCATTATCGTTATTTTATCATTATTATCACATCAATATCATTATTAATTATAATAACTATTAATAATAGTAATAAAGTTTTCTATTCAATAACCTCTTTCATTATAGTTTTATAGGAAGATAATTCTCTCTTTGTATAATGTTGAGATAATTAAAAAATTAAAGTTTAGGAGTTTAAAAGTTCAGTAAAATAGTAATGTTGACAGAGAGCAATAATGTCAAAGCAATGATTTTCTTCAAAAATTCAATTGAAATCAGAAATAATATCTACCACATATTATTCCGAAATATTAAGTTAATTGAGTATTAAATTAATTAATACTAATTAATGAAATAAATGGAATAGTTAATTCTATAAGTCTTTGCAAAAAAACCGATTTTATAAGTAGTATCCAACTTCTATAGTTGTACTACAAAGTTGTGCTACCAAAAATATCCAAAAAGAATATGCGGAGGTCAAATAAAATCAACAATTGATAAGTTCGATATATCTAATTGTGAATATATGTTTACTATAAATTTATATTTAATATAAAACAAATAAATATAAGTATATCAAATTTACAATTGAATACATATAAAGAAATAAATAATCATTTATTAAATATGCAATTACATTAAATATATATCATGTGACAAAATTAATTTATTTCTAAAACTTTTTCTACATTAATCCTTTCAAAAATACAAAATCCATTTTATCAGTTACATTTTAGATTATCCTAAAAAAAAAATTTGAACTTAATTTTAGACCACTCACAGTAAAATTAATTAGTAATCAAAAATATAATTTATAAAATAGAAAATATTTGATGCAAATTTTTTAATAAAATATTGCAAAGAATATTATTTAATATATCAGAAAATATTTTCAATTAATTTTTTGTTAGAAAACAAAGGATTAATTTTTTGTTTTAAAACAAAGGAAAGTTCTTATAGATATTCTACAACAAATATTTGCTATTGTTGAATTTTTCGTATCATTCAATTTCCTCTCTGACATATTCTCATAGAGATAAAACAGAGTTCGTATAGATATTCTACAACAGATATTTGCTATTGTTGAATTTTTCGTATCATTCAATTTCCTCTCTGACATATTCTCATAGTAGTGATACGTAAATAATAGAGGTGGAAAATTTTACCTTATCTTTTTCATTTAATTTTTAATTTTCTTCTTTTTGAAATTATAGGAAAAATCGATTGCAAATAAAAAGAATGCTTACAGATGATTGATCAGGTAATACAATAAGATAATAAATTAGAGCAAAAATAATCCAGGTAAAAATAAAACCACTAGCAAAAACACATAAAATAATTCGCCAATTACATTCGATTATCAAATGGAACCAATTCCTAAAATAAACTTTGATAAATAGTAAACCTGTTGAATCAAACGATCATTATCAAATTGATAAAGCAAGATAAGAGAAAAATACATATCAATGAATGGATCATATTATCTTCTTTAAAATAATTACACGAAAATAATTCCAATTAAATTTCAAATATTAATTTCCTATTTTAATATTAGCAAAAATGGATGAAAAAAAAGAATTTTATTCAAACTTCAAAGACAAAAAAATATGTTTTAAAATTTTTTTACATAATTATAATTAATTTTTCAGCAATTATCTTAATACGAATAATAATTAGATTACCTGTAAACCGATCGATATGGATGAGGTGTTCCAGTTTGTTGCAAAACACAACGACCATCTTTAGCAACAAGACGTGGACGACAAATTTTTTTTGTTATTAACGGTGAATTGAGCAAACTTTCATGGTTGTCATTAACATCCATATTCCCATTCACGTTTTTTAGCGTCTTCCTTTTAAATTTTTAATTAATTAATTAAAATTTTCAAAATTTTTTTTTTTTACTTCAATTTATCATTTAAACAATCAATTATTATTCATTTCAAAATTCATTTCATTGATTATCATTCATTTAATCATACATTTGTAATATTAGATCATTTCATATCAGTTATAATTTTAAAATCTAAAATACATTATCTATAATACGTAGTTATATCTATAATGCATAGTTCATTTCACATCATTTATAATTTAATAATCCAACATACAATATTTAGAATACGTAGTAATATCTATAATGCATAGTTCATTTCATATTACTTATAATTTCAAAATTTAAAATACAATATCTAGAATAGGTAGTTATATCTATAATACATAGTTCGTTTAATATTATAATTTCATAATCAAAAATGCAATATCTAGAATACGTAGTTATATCTATAATACGCAGTTNTATAATACGCAGTTCATTTCATATCATTTTTAATTTTAAAATTTAAAATACAATATCTAGAATATGTAGTTATATCTATAATACATAGTTCATTTTATATTACTTATAATTTCAAAATTTAAAATACAATATCTAGAACCCGTAGTTGCATCTATAAAATATAGTTCATTTCATATCACTTATAATTTTAAAATCTTAAATACAATATCCTTTTCCTATATGGTAGAAAATAAATGAAAAGCTATTTTGATCATTACTTAATAATATAATTTCCAATTTCATATTTCATTTATAATTTCAAAATTCTAAAATGAAATAATTACTTTCTCTTTCCCAGAAAATAAATTTAAATTTCTTTTGAACTGAAATATCCTATCAAACAATATTTTTTCAAACAATCATTTAATTAATATTACAAACAAATCAATTAATAAAATTTTGTTATTTATTTGAAATGGATTAATCATACATATAAAAATCGTTGAGAATTAATTAATTTACTTTCTTCCCACCTTATCCGTACATTTTCTTTTTGTCTTAATTAATTTATTTGTCATTTCAATTTTAATTTAACGATAAAAAAGAATTATCAAAATTTTTGAAATGGATTAATCATACATACAAATTTCTTGGCAATTAATTAATTTACTTTTTTTTCCATCTTATCCGTAGATTTTCTTTTGTCTCAATTAATTTAATTGTCATTTTAATTATAATTTAACGATGAAAAATTTTATCCAAATAAAATGAGAATAAATAAGACAAGCGACAGGTGACATCATAATCCTAAAATTTCATTTGCTATTTAAGGCTTAACAAAAAAAGGTTTGAAATATAATTGAAAAAGGAATGGAATTGATTTCTCTTTCTTTTCCTCATTTTTAATTCTTCCTTTTCATCGCCTTTTTTTGTTTTAATCTCTTATTTTTATATGCTTTCTTGTATTTTCCTTTATCTCACTTACACTATCATAAATTTAATCGTTATTTTTGCACTAAGTATAATTCATATCAACAAAAATTTTGATTTTCATAAATAAATAAATAAAAATGAAATGAGATAGAAAGAAAGAGAGAGAGAGAGAGCGAGAGATAAATAAGGAGGAAGATGGAATGAAAATAAAACGAGAGATAAATTGTTTCATATAGATAAAAAGATGGAAAGAGAAATTAAAACATTTAGTATAATTCATATCAATAAAAATAAGATTTTCATGAATAAATAAAAATGAAATGAGATAGAAAGAAAGAGAGAGAGAGAGAGATAAATAAGGAGGAAGATGGAATGAAAATAAAACGAGAGATAAATCGCTTCATATAGATAAAAAGATGGAAAGAGAAATTAAAATATTAAGTATAATTCATATCAATAAAAATAAGATTTTCATGAATAAATAAAAATGAAATGAGAAGAAAGAGAGAGGGAGAGATAAGTAAAGAGTAAGAAAGATAGAATGAAAATAAAACGAGAGATAAATTGTTTTATATAGATAAAAAGATGGAAAGAGAAATTAAAACATTAAGTATAATTCATATCAATAAAAATAAGATTTTCATGAATAAATAAAAATGAAATGAGAAGAAAGAGAGAGGGAGAGATAAGTAAAGAGTAAGAAAGATAGAATGAAAATGAAGCGAGAGATAAATCGTTTCATACAGATAGAAAGATTGAAACAGAAATTAAAATGAGGAAAAAGTTTGAAAAAATCTTCTAATTAATTTTTTCTTCTAAGAAAAACAAGAAATTGAAAATTAAATGATAAAATAAATGAAATGGCTATTAATTAATAAATAATGAATAAATTAAATAAAAATGTCTATTGTTTATATTTCGATATGAATGAATTGAATAATCAAAATCTTAATTATCTGTAAAACAAAGAAATACATAATAGCTATAATTATATCATTCATTTCCGCATCTATCATATATCATTTCCAATATATCATTTCTGCATATTTACAGATACAATTGATAGATAATAATTTAATGTTGCAAATTATAAGAACTACTACGAAATCTAACTTAATAAACTATTGGCTAAGTTTGTAACAATAGCATCTGTAGCATTCTAATTGCAATTTAATGATCCACATATTTACAGATACGATAGATGATATTTGCAAATATTAATTAATTTTAATTGCTATCGTTATTTATTGCTATCACATTCGTAAAATTACATATGCTATGAATATGAAAGCATTATTTCTATCATATCAGTAAAATATCTGTTGTATGCTATGATAATGAAAGCATATATAATATTTACGGATATGATAGCAACAATTATGGTAGCAATTAAAATTAATTAATAGTTGCAATTGTTTTTTTTTAATTTATATAATTAACTGTTAATATAACATTTTTGTACGAAATCTAACTTAATAAACTATATACTAAGGTTGTAATAATAATGTGTAAAGTATGAAAGCTTTAAAATAAACGGAAAATATAATATAATATAATATAATATAATAATATTATGTTTCATAAAAATAATATAATAATATCACATTTCATAATTTTAATTATTGACAAGTTTACATTACTAAGTATAAATATAAATATATCTATGCATCTATAATTCTCCGATATTTGATTACAAATAGTATCCGATACTATTGTAATCAAGTAATTCCAATACTCTTATTCGTAATTAAATAATTCCGATACCTGTAGCATCCGATACTAATAATCTAATTCCTGACATTTATGATATCAGATATTATCGATTACTCGTTTCTAATCAAATAATTCCGTTACTTGTAACATCCGATACTAATAATCAACTAGTTCCTGATATTTGTAATATCAGATATTATCGATTGTTTATCAAAAGTTTATAATTATAACAAACTAAAATAGACTATAAAAACATGTTAAGCGAAAAATGTCCAAGTTATTATAGGAATTTAATTATAGCATTCCCATTGCTATCCACAAAAATAAATTAACCAATAAATTCTTTCCGGTTAATTCTAATCCGGAATAACAAGATTAATTGAATATTGAGTGGGATATAATTGCTACAAGTTAATATATAACAACGAAAGGATTCTCATTATCTTTTCATTTCATCTAATTTTAACTCAACCTATCAATAATATTTACCTTAAACTTGTCATTCTAATAGTGTAACACATACACACATACACACACACATACATAGACACACATACATACACACACATACATAGACACACATACATACACACATACATACATATTTATGGATAACAGAAAACAAGAAGTTAGAATTTTTGCAAAAAATTCGATTATACTTTTTTGATAATTGTAAAACTAAAAATAGTTATGGGAATCAGAAAAAAAAAAGATTTTAAAATTATTTTGTTTTAATTATTGAAAAATATTAATTGGAAAATTTTTTTAATTTTATTTATTATTTATTTATTTATTTATTTATCGTTTTATTTATTTTATTTATTGAAATTGCCGCATTTTTTTAATTAAACAAGTTGAAACAATAAATTAAATGAGAAGATAAATTAAATTTAGATAATTGAAAAATTAATTTTCATTTTGGATTTGATAAATTAATAAGAAAAAAAAATAATTACAAATTCGATTTATTATATTTGGGAAAATATTTCAAATCAAGCGTTTATTATTCCTCCTAAATAAATCGAGTTAATTAATTAATAATTCAAAAGATTTATTAATTAGTTAAAAGATATTATATATTATTTAAAAGAATTGAAGAACTGAGATGAATTGACTATGCAAGAAGTTAAAAGATTAATTATTTGATTAATTACAGAACTCGAATTATGGGACGATTATTATTTCTCCTAATTAAATCGAGTTAGTTATTTATTAATTTAAAAGATTTATTAATTAGCTAAAAGATTTATTAATTATTTAAAAGAATTAAAGAACCAAGATGAATTGATTGCGCAAGAAGTTAAAAGATTTATTCCCCCAACTGAACCAAGTTAATTAATTGAAAGATTTATCAATTAATTAAAAGATTTATTAATTATCTAAAAGAATTAAAGAATCCAAATTATGAGATGAATTGAGTATGTAAGAAATTCACAGATTAATTAATTAATTAATTATAGAACCCGAATTATGAGATGTATTAAGTTATATAAGAAATGAGAGGTGGAAGAAAGAAGTTCAATTGAGTCGAATCAAACAATTTAAACCGTTAATTAATTATCTATTAAAATAAAGGTAATTTGAATTAATTAAATATAATCAAATTTTTCTGAAAATTTTAAAAGTATATTTAAATAAGATCAAAATAAACGAGAATGAACGAATTCAAATTACATTGTTAAATTCATTTTAAATTTGAACGAATTCAAATTATAATTTAATTTTTAACTAAAATTTCTATATTACAAGAAAAAGAAGAGAGAGAGAGAGAGGGAGAGAGGGAGAAAAGAGAGAGAAAGAAAAAAAGCGAAAAATTAAAATGAAATGAAATGTCTTAAGAAGATACGGAAAAAGTAAAACCAATTTCCTTTTCTTCTATTCCGTTTCCTTATTTCTCTTCACACATCCGAATTTCTTTCTTCTCTTTTTTTTACAAGTTTTATTTTTAAATTTTATTGCAAAGGTGAGAGATGTAATAATCATCAGATTGACTGACATCAATATGATTCGATGTGCAATATTTATAATATATACCTTTCATGTGACGCATTCATTTCATGTTGAAAAACAATTATGAAAAATCAAATAGTGGATGTGATTTTATAATATGATATTATTTATGATAATTTCGATATAACTAACTATATGGTAAAATATTTTGATAATAGAAAAATAATAATAAAATTTGAGTAAAAATAAATAAATAAATAATTCAAAAATAATATTATTTATGATAATTTCGATATAACTAACCCTATGATAAGATATTTTAAGATTAAAAAATAAATAAATGAAAATTTGAAATAATTCAAAAATAATATTATTTATGATAAATTCGGTATAACTGAAACTATCTGATAAGGTATTTTAACAATAGAAAAGTAATAATAAAGCTTGAATAAAAATAAATAAACAAATTAAAAATTTGAAACATTTCAAAAATGATATTAATTACGATAATTAAAATACAACTAACTATATGATATGGTATTTTAACATTAAAAAAATAATAATAAAATTTGAATAAAAATAAATAAATAAAAATTTGAAATATTTCATAATTAAAGCAATAGATATCATTATGATAATTGATTATTTCATGATAACAAATTGCTAACAATTAAAAAGAATGAGAATAAGAATCCTAAAATCAAGAAGGAAGAATTGAAAAATTCGATTAGATGCAATTAAGAATTCATACTGCTATTTGACGCAAACAACATGTAAATTTAATTTAGCAATATAAGTATCAAAAATCAATGTGACAGCTAATTCTTTCTTTCCAAATTCATTACAATTTTTGGATAAATTAAAAATTGAAATTTTGAAATTATTTTTTTGCTACTCAAAAATATATTGGAAATGAATAATATGAATACTTTCATTTTATATTTTATTTTTCCAAATTCATTACAATTTTGGGATAAATTAAAAATTGAAATTTTGAAATTATTTATTACTCATTGGAAATGAATAAAACTTTTTATTTTATATTTTAAATTTTTGCTAAAATTTCACTGATTAACTGATAAAATTATCATTTGCTTGAAAAACGAAAATAATTTTAGAGCTTTTATTTTTAATTGTTTTTTAAAACTTAATTTGATAGTTAACGAATTATTATTGCAAACCGTGCAATAGAAATTATTTTGAAATTAATTGTTATGCTATTTAACAATTAAAATAAGCAAGGTAAGCAATGTATATTGAGTGTATGAATTTCCCACCTTAAGATAATTTCATTATTTTATTTTGCATTTTAAATTTTCGTTTTCAATATTTTATTTTATATTACATTCATTGATGACTCATACATCTTAATAAATCAAAAAGATATATTCTTTAAAGCGATTTAAATAATTTGCATATCATTGTTCGATGCTATCCTAAACATCTTCTATTACAACAAAGATAACTATATATAATTTAAAACAAAGCATAATTCTCAGTAATATCTAGGCCTTACTCTAAAAAAACACTCTCAATCATATTTAAGCCCTATTCTAAAGAACACTCTCAATAATATCTAGGCCTTACTTTGAAAAACACTCTCAACAACATCTAGGGCCTAATTCTAAAATACACTCTCAATAATATCTAAGCTTCACTTTGAAAAAGCGTTCTCAACAACATCAAGGCCTCATTCTAAAAAACATCCTCAATAATATCTAGGCCTTACTCTAAAAAAATCCTCTAAACATATCTATTATATTTTTTTATTATTGAAACTTTCATTGCTTCAATTGCCTATTTATAACAAATACAGATATGCGATGATTCATTGGGGTCAAATGAAATTAGTATGGCATATGCATAACAGGTGTAACATTTAAAAATAGTAAATATAGATGAAATTTAGATGTAATATCTGTCTGTTCTTGATGTTGTGACTGGCAGCAATTGAATCTGAAATTATTAGTGCATAATGCCGTGAAAAAAAAAGGTTTATCATCTGCCTCTAAAGCAAAGAATTCATTTGAAAAATTAAATAGATTACAAGATATTGATATGTAAGAAAATTTTTTCGAATTACATGCTACTGTTATTAGTAATAAGTTTGTAATTTAGGTTTACTAAAATAAGTACCACCAAAATATTAGTCATTCAATGGTTTCTTTGTTCTCAAGCCTTATTTCAAAAAATACACTCAATCAAATCTGAATATTACGAATTGTAAACTATTGAAATTATTTTAATATGGTACTAGGATATTTGCAATTCTGATTGAAATTCTGCATTTAAAAGTTTGTGATTAGAAACAAAAACTGGGTATTGTTTTAATCATATCTTCATTATCAGCGTCAAAAGGCGATACAAGATTTTTTATGGTATATTTAATTTTACGATGAATTCTTTTATTGAACTTATTACAATATCAAACATGCTTTTTACATTCCGCATATATAGAGTGATAAGAATCAATCTTACAGGTTATGTTCAGAGTTTTGATGCTGATAATGATGTAATAACGGCATCTTATCGGTAACATTTACATTACAATAGAATAATTAGAATAATAGAATAATAGAATAATTTTTATAATTTTTCAAATAGTACTTACAATTTACTTTTGACGTATATATTAATGATTTCATCCGTTGTAATCACGTTTCTGCACATACTACAAATAACTTATCAGTACCATTCACGTATATATTAATAATATATCCGCTGTAATCACGTTCCTACATATACTGCAAATAATTTAACAGTATCTTTGACGCTATATGTTAATAATTTCATCCGCTATAATCATGCTTCCTCATATGCTACAGATAGCATATATGTAACATTAATATTTTTAAGTAAGCATATTATTTTAAATGATACACTTGTGTGTTATACAGGTGTATATGATTATGTGTCTTATAAATGTACGTCAAGATGTTTAATAAAAATTTTGATGAATTTTCATTTTTCTATTTGCATAAAAATAAAATATTTCATTTCAATTCTTTTCATTCATTCCAACGCTAGAATGCTGCATTACATAGGGATGATCACAACATACTTGTTCATGTACCGTTTCCTTAAAGTGTTTTGGGATCTTCGATATTCGATGCGTGAATGGGTGACTTGAAGGATGTGTTGTGATGTTCGGTGATGGTTCTGCACGATATCTGTCTTGAGACTTGTTCTCAAGAGTATTTGATTTGGGGAGGGTTTGTATCTAGTAGTTCTTATAATCTACAACATTAAATTCCAGGAAAATTGAAGCCTTATTTTGTCTCAAACTGAATCATCAATTACTCTGTTATCGTTCTGGAATTCTAGGGATGGTTGAGATTCTTATTTTTTTGAATAAGTTTGATTAGGTTACATTAAATTTAAAAAGCATTTCTTATGTGCAAAATTTTTTAAAGCGCCTATCTCTTCGGTTGCTAATACTACTATGAGTATTTTTTTTCGGAGTATGGTTTTTTCCAGTCTTTTCTTTTTTCCTAGGTGATTTTTTTCATCTTTATACGTTTTGTTTTGAAGTTGATATATTTCAATGCTCTTCTATGCCCTGTGAAGTGGGAATTTCGAGACTAATATTTATTAGCTTCACCAGTTTCTCTTGTAGGGTCACTCAACGGGGAACGGTACACAATTTGGTTTGGGATGAGCTTCGCCGGAGTCGGAACGCGAGGTAAGAATCCATCTTTATTTTAACAAGCTTTGTTTTAAAATCAAAAAAATTGAGACTTTTATCTGTAATCGTATTGTCTGTTCTCGAATAGCGTTTTTTTTTTTTAAATATCCATTGGCAGATTTTTTGTTTTTCGTTAGTGAGTATGGAGTTAGAGTTGTTTTGGGTAATACCAGAAAAAAACGATTGGTCTGAGCAGTCGGTCATATTCATCGAAAGAGTGAGTATTTGCCCCAAACAACTAAAAGGATCAAATCGGGCAGTTACTGTGAAGAGCATCTGCTTCTCTGGGAAGGTTTCAACAAGCTCGTTAGTGGTATCTCATTTAGGGTACGGAGATTTTGCCGGTTTGGGAAATTTCAACAACTTTGAAAGCAGTGTTGATCATCAACAACCACCACACATTACAATGGATGAAGGAGCTACCCCGCAACCGCTTTCGGGCAACGGTCGTCGCTCGGGCAACAGCACCTACAGCTTGCAGCAGGTAAATGGAATGAAATTTGCATATCAATTTATTTCTTTAATTCAAGGAATTCTTCAACCAGTGATTAGTGTTTGTTGTGGGAATCATGGCATGCGGTCAGTTATGCTGCATGAAGGCCTCGCAATTGCAGGAAATTATTTGGATTAAGCAAGATTCGGCGCAGATTCGCAATGCTGTTGTTTTGCTGGAGAAGGAAAAGGATAACCTACGACAAGCAGTTCGAAAACTCAAAGTTGGATTAAAATCTTGCTAAATTTTGTTTTTTTTTTTAAACGAGAGTGAATTTGCTCTACTAACTGTCTGAGACATAATTTATGGTTGCGAGTGCTCTGGGAAGCCCATCCTCGTATTATTCCATTATATGGTCGTAAAATGTTTTGGAGTATTGCTATTTGTCACATTTCAGTTGGAAAACATACGAGTGAAACAGAAGATGAAGCGCATGCAGGAGACTATCAATGGATTGAGTGGAGTGTCAGCTGAAACGGATAATCTCAAAGTTGGAGCAACTGAGGCAGATTTGGATTACGACGATATTGGGCGTGACTTCATCCTTGTGGGAGGTTTCGGTTTTTCAAAATTTGTCCCAAATATCACTATGTTATGAGGACTGAAAAGGTACTATAAAAAGTTCTTCAAGTTGACAATATGTAATGATTTATTTGCAGGCGCTCAGGATCCTCTTAGTTTGAGATTCGAAGTTTCCATTCGGGATGAAAGGGGCATTGAGCATAAATCAGCTGAACGCTATTATTGGTAAAATTTATTGGTTATATTAAAATTTCCAAATTTTCTGCAGTAAATCGTTTGTCATTGCAGTTGCCAGTGATGTTATTGTTTGCAGTGTTGAGACTTTTAGGTACAAAATGGCGGAACATTTCGGAGACACTGAAACGATGGCAAAAATCTTGGATGCTTCTTCGACAATCAAGGCAGAGGAAGCAATGAAAGATATTAAGGATTTCGACGAAGCTAAGTGGAATGAAGTAAGCTGAAATCTGTCACCATTTCTTTTTTGGTCTTGTAGGATACGATTTATAGTTGCAAATCAGTTTGCATAAAACTATGTTTGAATTTATGGGTGGGATTCACTTTTTTTTTTGTTAAAAGATTGATCTTTCAGGTGAAAATGAATGTCTGGGAAACTGGCCAGCGTCTGAAGCTCGAACAGACACGCTGGATTGCAAATCTGCTAGTTTATACCGGAAAGACCTACATCGCCGTCGCTTCGCAAGATAAAGTACACTTTTTTGAGAAATCTGTAATGAATTTTTCGGATTTAGTATGTAGTTGTATTAAGCTTTTTAGATAGTTTAAAGCACAGTAATTTTTTTCAGATTTTCGGTACAGGCTGGCGCAAAAACCGTGATGAAGCAAATAAACCAATTTTCTGGGATGGTGAAAATCAGGGTGGTAAGGCGCTGATGCGACTTCGCCAACAGATCAAAGAAACGCATACCTGGTCGGGCCCATACGAAGAGCAGGCAGGTTTTTATTCGTATGTATGCACATTTGTGAAATTTCAGTGTAAGTTTTATGGATACTGCTGATTAATTGCATAGCACAATGCAAATAGACCTGGTTTTGTCAACAACAGTGACAGAGAAAATGTTTATCTGAGGGAATTTTGTATCTTCAGGAAATCGAAAAGCGTTTCAATGAATTGAAGAAGTACGTCTGGCGTCGTATCGACCCGGCACGTCGTCTCGGGATTCTGCGTGGACGTGCACGTGGCTTCGTACGTCGTGGTGGTTATGGTGGTCGTGGTTACGGTGCACCGAGCGCTGGTTTCCCGCAGACAGTTCGTCATTAAAATCCAGCTGTTTAGGAAAACAATTTAGCTTTGGATTATCAGAAAACAAGCGGTGTTTTAAAAGTTTTGATTTGATTCTGTGTCACTACTGTTTGCACAATTATAATAACTGATAATTATTTCACGTGGCACATTTCTGTTTGCAGTTTGTTTTTTTCTTTCCCCACCCCGCTGATGTTTTTTGCACCGCTTTGCCGGCGATTTATTCTTCTTTCATACACAGCAATGCATATTGGACGAAAGTACCTATTTCTTCATCATGTATTGTCGTCATCAAAGTTGATGATGATATTGAATTGATGATCTTCCCACTGTTAAATTATTCCATTTTATATGATTGATTTTTGGCTTTTTCCATTGGTTATCGGCAGCACATTCTTTTTGCATTTTTTGCAAGTTTCGCAAAAGTCAGAATTTTAGGTGAAAAAAGAACGTTCCTTTTTCTAGCTTCATTTTTAAGTTATTTTCTTTTTAAATTCATATTGTTCGAAAAATTTTCTCACGCATTTCCGATGTAGCAGTCATTTCTTTTTTTGATTTTCGATAACGTGACACTTTTTTTCTGTTATAGTTTTGTAATTAATCTTTGAAGAATTTATATTTGCGGTTTTTTGAGACAAAATGATTTTTACCATTTTGTAAACTATCTGTGTTCTTTCTCCTCTACAGTGTTGAATGTTTTTCATCTCAACGTGTGCTGTCTTCAGTTTACGCAGAAGTAAAGAGAGTATTATGGATTGCGGTAAAAAAAATTCGAGATATTACTGAATTCTCGTGAAAATTGACCGCAGCATGTTATGTTTGCTAAAAAGATTTCTTTCTAATAATAAATTATTTTATATTTGTGATTGTACATGACAGGCTACTATACATCTAGTAAAAAACCAGGTTTTTTACATCTCGTAATGAGCTCAAGTTATACGAATACTTTAGAATTGATCCGTTCATAAGTGTCTCGGGACAATTTTTTGTTAACTCTTTCAACATCAAGGACTGACAATTTTTGTTTTTAAAATTAGAATTATGAAGATGGGATAGATGATAGATATCATGGAATGAATGATAATATGTCTATTTTTGCGTTTGTTTGGATCGATCGAGAAGGAGGTTACAGTCTATGTTTCATCTCTTATAAAAATCTTTCCTGGCCTACCGGTTACTTATGAAAATTCTAATAATCCTATTTATATTAAGCGTTCAGGCAATTTTCTTATCACTATTTCCTTTTTTTAAGAATTTTTGGCTAAAATCTAAATTTTATCATTTATCATACAAATAATATCATAATATTAGATATGATATACTAACGGTTATCATAGGGAAAGATAGGATATACATGGAATGAGAGAGAAAAACTAAAATTTATGAATTACCAATAATTTCCCAATCATAGGGATCATTTGATTTAACATTCAATGGAATACATCGTTTGAGGCATTCATTGATAAAATTATGCCTTGGCATTTCGGTTGGTTTTAAACCTTTAATATAATTATAACATTGCAAAAATGGTGGCGGCATCTGAGCGCATAACTCTTTACCGGTAATTGTTGTTTTTTGTTTTAACATATCACGGGGCTCACTTTTTGCCCACGGTAACTTTGATAGTGCCAATTCGATCTGAAGAAATTTCGATTCTTTGCTATTGTTATTCATTATGTATTATATTATTATTTACTATTTATTATTTAACACCTTTTATTTACTATTTATTATTAAGCTTACGCATAGGATACTAACCTAATACGTTTATGTTAAGCATAACTTTTATCACTTTCTTATATGATATATATATATATATTTTTTGAATTGATTACGATTAAGATATAATCATCGTGATTAAGATATATAAATAAATATTAATCATCACATTAATTTTTCATTAATTTATTCATTGTTATTTGTTATTTACTATTTATTATTTACTATTATTTTATTATTAAGCTTACGCGTAGTATATATTATTATTTATTAAGCTTACGCCTAGGAACTAACCTTATGTTAGTCATAACTATTATCACTTTCCTAGTTTGTTATAAATAAGAAACATTACATTTTATAGCATATCAATCTATATAATAATAAACTTACTTCTTTAATGCTTAATTAATACTACCAATCAATCTATCAACTTAATTAATACCGCAAGCATTAAA